TATATCCTTCTGGTCAGGATGGATTGTCGGGCTCACATTCCTTCCATCTTTCCTCACTGCGTATGCCGGCGGGTGCGTGTAGAGCTCGCGCTGTCGCCTGCCGAGCGTACCGCCTTTGCCTACATATGGACCCTTGCCGACCCGCAGCAGACAGGCATCGTTACTGGCGACGCTGCCGTCCAGTTCTTCTCCGCTTCCAAGCTCTCTGCGAGCGTCTTGGGCGAGATCTGGTCGCTCGCAGACAGCGCCAACAATGGCTTCCTCACCGCTGGCGGCTTCAGCATCGCGCTGCGGCTCATTGGGCATGCACAGCGCGGCGAAGTCGTCACGGAGACACTCATCCAGCGATCCGGGCCACCACCCACGTTCGATGGCATCACGCTACCCCAGCCGTCAGGAAGCGGCTCCGTGCCCACTCGCACTGGTACCGGCTTTCCAGTTGCCGTTGAGATCAAGGCCGAGGACCGTGCGCGCTACACGCGCATCTTTGCATCCGCTGGGCCGCAGAATGGTGTCTTGGATGGTAAGTGGGAGACTTGCAAGGGTTTCCCGGCAGCCGTCTCTACCTTCGCACTCCCTCCTGAACCGTCATGTCTTCTCACACAGGCGAAAAGGCCAAAGAGATCTTTGTCAAGTCCAAGCTGTCGTTCGACAAGCTTGGTGCGATCTGGAGCCTGGCCGACACGCGCTCGCGCGGCGCACTGGACCTGACCGACTTTATCATCGGCATGTACTTCATCCAGAACACGATGAACGGCACGCTCAACTCGATACCCGCTGCTCTGCCCGCCGGACTCTACGAGCAGGCCTCGGGCGGCGCGCCCTCCCCGGCACCGGGCTTCACCCAGTTTCCACCGACGAGCCCCGTCGCAGCGCAGCATACAGGCGGCTCGCAGGGGCCCATTTCGCGCCAGGTGACCGGCATCCCGCGCCAGATGACTGGCAGCCACTATCCGCAAGCGGGGCAGCGGACGGGACAGATCGGCAGCCCCGTGCCGTCGTTCCGTGGCGCCGTCCCCGGCCTCCCGCCCTCTTCGTCTTCTATGACGACCAGCTTCATCCAGCCGCAGCTGACTGGCGCTGCTGCTCTACAACGTCCTGCGCCTCCCCCGGCATCCTACTTCTCCTCTGGGGCTCAGTGGGACGTCACGCCAGACGAGAAGGTGAGCTCGGATCGCTTCTTTGATGGCTTGGATACCGCCAGAAAGGGCGAGCTCCACGGACAAATTGTCGTGCCGTTCTTCATGCAGTCCAAGCTCAACGAGACGGTCTTGGCACACATTTGGTAAGTGTGTGGCGGCGCAGGCGCAGGCACAGGCATAGCCTTAGGCCGTGGCTCGCGACTCATCGCATCGCACTACTCTGCATTATCTGATACCACCTTTTGGGTGCCCGACGCTCTCTTCGTTCGTTCAGGGACATGTCGGACATCACGCAGAGTGGCTCACTCAGCAAGGACGAGTTTGCCGTCGCCATGCACCTGATCAACAAGCAGCTCGCTGGTAACGATCTTCCGCCGACGCTGCCACGCAGCCTCGTGCCGCTGTCGCTGCGTAACCAGCAGTTGCCGCAGGCAGTCGATCCGACGCAGAGCGGCACGCAGAAGGACCTTTTCTCCATCATGGACGACGATGCAGATGTGCTGGCCCTGCCAGTCTCGGCCGCCTCGGCCTTTGTGACCCCCACGCCTTCTGCGCCTCTCGCCGCCAGCAGAGGCGCCCCTGCACCTTTCTCGTCTTCGAGTGCCCCTGCCCCTGCGCCAGTGCCAGCCCCGGCAACGCCGCGTGTGGCACAGTCCACAGCTGCTTCTGCTGCTCCGTCGGGCTTTGATGACGACTTTTTTAACAGCTCGCCGACAGTAAGCTCACCTGAGCGCATCGGCGGCGCTGTCGTACTTGCTCATACTGCTGCAGCTGACACGTCCGAGACGAGCAGACGCTTGCAGACGGCCGAGCAGGAGCTCGAGAGGTTCAACACGCAACGCAGCGCCCTCGAGACTACTGCTGCGCAGAACGCGACGTCCACCGCCGAGATCGAGGCGCGCCTGACGTCAGTGAAGGCGACGCTCGAGACGGAGCAGAAGCTCGTGCAGGGGCTCGAGGAGAAGACTAAGGCGCAGAGGGCAGAACTCAAGAAGTTGCGCGAGGACCTGATCCACGAGGAGAGCAGCCTCAGCGCGCTCAAGGCGGAGCGCGACGAGCTTGAGCAGGCGCTAATGCGCGACCGCGAGGACGTCCGCGACGCCAAGAAGAAGATGGCAGAAGTGCAAGCGCATACTGCACAGCTGAAAGCGGAGCTGGAGAAGGTCAGGAAGGACGCACGCCAACAGAAGGGCATGAACGCCATCGCAAAGAAACAGCTGACCACGGCTGAGACGGAGCGGCAGAAGACAAGCGCGGAGCTGGAGGGTGCCAACGCTGGCGAGCCAGAGGAGGCGTCCGCTACTGCTGCCGTACCGCGAGGTGCTGGGATGGCGCAAAGTCGCGAGGGTACGCTTAGTCCGATGGATAGCGTGAAGAGCACCAATCCATTCGATCGCAGCAACACCGCCTCCGCCGATGCTCCTGTCGAGCACGGCGGATTCGTCAGAACAGCTACAGATATCACAACGGGCAATGCCTTGGGCGGCGTGGCTGCTGCTTCAGGTGCGGAGCATGACAGGCACGATGGGAACCCGGTGGACAGCAGTGCGCTCCCTACTATGACTACTGCTGCTGCCGCCGCCGCCGCGAGTAACGATCCATTTGGCGTCCCCGACGCCGAAGCTGCAGGCGATGCGCATTTCGGCCAGACCGCATTCGATGATGCGTTCGGGGACTTCGATGCTCCTGAGCATGCAAATGCAGCTGCCGTAGACGGTCACCCTCCTACGTCTGCTCCAGCAGCTTCGGAAACGACTTCCGCGCCGGTGGCCGCTGCTGCTTTCGACGACGACTTTGGCAACTCTTTTGACGCTGCTCGTGCCCCTGCACGTGCCGCTACTCCCCCTAACATGACACTTGAACCGGAAGGGCAAGCGCAGAAGTTCGCTAGCAGCTCCATCGCGTTCGACCATGCCTTTGCCGACTTTGACAACCCCCAGCCTGCCACTGCCACTGCTGTACCCGCCAATGCACAGCCTGCTACGGACGCGACTGTGTCAAATGAGACAGGTACAGAAGATTGCGAATCGCACCTCTCTACTTCCGCGGCCCTGGTGGGCACTGGAGCTGTAGCAGCGGGGGGTATTGCGGCGGGAGCTAGCGCGGTATCTGCGACTCATGACGACGATCAATCGTCGGACGAAGATGAGGGACCAGAGGACCTCGATCAGCCCTCGACTCGTCCCACCGGGATGGATTTGAGCAACGCGGGGGATGAGGCGGGCCACAGCCGCGAGGCCAGTGCTGTTCAAACTCCAGGGGCCAGTGGCTCCAGCTCGGTAGGTGCGGATGACCCCGATCGAACACTGGACGTTGGTGACATGAGCAAACAGAAGCTCACAGAGGCGGATAGCTCTACATCTGTTTTCGGGCCAGCGTCAGGCTCGCCTGTGCCTGAGGCATCGCCTTTCGACGCTTCTCCAAGTGCACGCAGCAGTGTCGACCTGGACAGCTTCGAGGATGCCGAGGGTGGTGACGACGCTCGTCCCCGGCATGAGAAGTTTGCCACAGCTGTACAGCCGACGGAAGAGGCCACGACACCTGGTGCCACTTCTCCTGCCCCTGTAGCTTCTGGTATTCCCGGCGGCGATGCCACCACGAGCCCGGCTGCATCGGTCAAGGCGCGAAGGGCCCCTCCTCCAGCACCGCAACGCGCGCCCACCGCGTTATCCTCCATACCCGGTACAGCTACTTCTTCCGCCTTCGGCGACGATGCCTTCGCGGACGCGCTCACGACGCCAGTAAATACGACGTCTCAACTTCCCGAAATTTCGTCAGCCGCGCCAGCCGTGACCAAGCAGCCTGTACAACTCGCTCTTGACGAGTTCGAATCTGCTTTTAACGATCTCGGCCCCGCCATGCCGGTCAGCGCAAGCGGCAGCGCAGCACAAAGCTCTGCTGCTCCAGCCTCGACAGGCTTTGACGATGCGTTCGACACGGACTTTTTCTTTGTGCCTTCATTCCGCACGGTGGCGACGCCTTCCGCTGCGCCTGCGGCTGCGCCAGCGACCAACGCGCCTAGCAACCCACCTGGAGACTTCCCAGGTGCTTCGAATAGCGCGGTCTCCGAGGCTTTCGCTGACTTTGACTCGGCTTTCCCCTCCGCGCCGACCGTTGCGAATGCATCATCAGGATCTTTGGCCCCTGCCTTCTCGTTCGACGATGCGTTCGAGCCGGAAGGCCAACAAATGGGCGCCAGCACAGGCGCTCCCGCGGTGCCGCCACGTAAGGCCGACGCCCCTGCTGCCCGCAACAGCACGCACTCTTCGGCCCTGCCAGACGACGCGGGCCCAGTGAAACAGCTCACCGCGATGGGCTTTGCGCGACACCAAGTGATCACGGCATTGGAGAAGTCAAACTATCGCACAGATCGGGCACTCGAAAGGCTGCTAGCGGGCAAGTAAAATTCAGAAGCCAGAATTTGTCTATTGAAACCGTGTGAATGCCAAAGTATGATACAAAGCAGTGTGTAGCAACTAAGGGACAGCATAGTGCGGAATTCCGCAATTACCTGAGCACGATGGCTTCGCCCTCGCTTTGATTTGGCCACACCAGTCATTGTCCTGCAACCATCCATGCCTGCTCGCGGTCCTCCACCGGATTAATCGCTTCCCGCGCACCTTGGCCTCGTCCGGGTGCATTTCTAAAGAGCTCTTTGAAGCCGCCTTCTCCTTCGAGTTTTTTGAGCATTCCCGCCGTCGCTTCAGCGCTTGGCTGGCCTGCAAGCGGATCGGCTCCGCCTTCGATGAGTACCTTGACCACGTCATCGAACCCTTTGAAGACTGCACCTGCGACGGGCGACTGGCTCTTACCATTCAGCTGATTCGGGTCTGCCGGGCATGGGATAGATGTGAGCATGTCCTTGACCAGAGAGGCGTGGCCGTGGTAGGCGGCGAGCATGAGGAGCGTGTCACCGCGATTGTTCATCAGGTTCGGAGGTAAGCCAGCTTTGAGGTATTCGATCAACTTGGCATCGCCTGCCCGAGCCATGTCGAACATCTGCAAAGAAGGAGACTATTGTCAATCTCAGTCACATAACGGTGTTGCTATGTATTTAAAGTCAAAGCGTACCCTCTTTGCGAAGTCGAGCGCATCGTCACTCAACTGCGATGGGTCTGTAGGTCGACTGGGTGGCGGAGCGCCCACGGCAGCATTTGACACTTGATCGACACCCTGTTCTTGCTGGTGCGGTTTTTGCGACTGCTGTGAGGCCTCCATATCCATGGATACCTTCTCGTCTGCCACTCGCACATTGGCTGCCACAGTTGCCTGCGCTTCAGAGTCTTGTTGATGGTGGTGCGTGGACATTGCGACCGTTTAGGCGTGGAACAATCAGGATGAGTTGAATTGTTCTGTTGGCCACTGCACCGCTGGCTGTCAAAGATGAATTAGGCAAGCAAGTCGGTCGTGGCCCACGGGTCCGTTATGCGCTAGCAATCGCTCCCAGGTTGGTCACCGAGGACAAACGAACCCAACATGGGTTCTCATGTCAGAGATGCTGTTGAGTGAAGCGATGACTTCATCGTCGTCAAGGTCCCCTTTAGTCGGCGACTTTCCTACTTCGGCGACTTCTCAATTGCGGATGTATCGCCACTAGTCTGGGAACTCTGTGGTTAGGGAGGCACTCTGGTCAGCGTTCTCAACGTGGTACTCGTTGCCGCTTTCATTAATAGAATCCCCTTCACCTTGAAGAAGTTGGGGGACCGGGCTTTCGAAGAGCCCGTGCGGTTCGGTCTGCGCTGCCGTAATTATTGTGCAAGATGACGGGGGAATCTGCGGAAGACGAAAGTATGATCTCCCATTTAATCCACAAGCTCTCCCCTCCTCGGCTTCTGTTGTCACAGCTGCCCACTTTCCGATCATGCTGTGTCCACGAGTCTGCTCGAAATGGTGTGCGTATGCAGCAATGGAACCAGATGTCAAATTTTGAAGAAAAAGAGCTGCATTCCTTCGTGGAGATATATAACAGGAGAGCAAGACCTCCGCGCCTCGTTTTCTTCGGGGAGCAACACCATCAGCCTCAAGTCTTACATGCGCAGATGCAAGCTCTGCATGATCTTGTGCGAGCCTTTCGAGCGCTCGAATCGCCAAAATCTGAACCTCAAGCGAGGGGCCCACGGATCAGCATGGTTATCGAGCATTTCTCACTCTTAGATCAGGCTTTGCTCGACGGATTCGTGGCCGGTGACCTTCAAGTAGCCGAACTAGCCGAGATGTATGGCGAGGAAAGTCAGGAAGGTTTCGATATGAGCCACTACATCCCGCTCTTGGTTCTCGCACAAGAACTTGGAGTGCGTGTTGTTGGAGGCTTCCCGCCTCGGCAGTGGGCAAAACTTGCATTCAAGGACGGGCTCGACGCAGTAAAGGATGCCGAAAGGACGAGGATGTCCTATGACACTTCCAACCACGCAGCACCTGCATTTACCCGCTGGGATCTCGTCACGAATATCTCGCTTGCCCATCGCAGCTACATAAAGTCACTCATGCGCCCAAATCAACCCGTTATTTTTCCGGCCCTACCACCCGACGTGCAAGAACCCCAATCGGAAGCAAAGAATTACACAGCGAGATACCCGACAGAGCTGCTATGCGAGCCGGGCCCGCAGAGTAAAGGATTCGAGACCGCTCAAGCGCTAAAAGATGCATTCTTTGCGCACACAATTACCTCTCAGCTCATCAATTCGGCGAGTGGATGTGGTGATGGCATTGTGTTTGCTATCTGCGGGCTTGGGCACAGCGAATATGGCATGGGTGCTGTGGAGAGGACGATGGAGCTGCTTCGGGAGCGCTACAGGCCATCAGATGATACGATAGAACCGTTCCTGATAGCTAGTAAGCCCGATGACGGGAGTTTCTGGACAGCTGATGTCACGGATCAGGTCGCCGAGGAAGACTCTCAAATAGCATGGGCAGAAGACGCCTGGGATCGCAAATTGGCAGATGCTGTTGTACTCTACAAATGGAGAGATGAAGGAAATTAAATCGAGGGCTGTCTCATCTGTTTCTTTTATATGGTGGCAAACGAGAGAGATTGCGAGCTGCTCAGGTATTGCGCCATCCAGTGACGATATGCTTCATGGCTTCTTGATCCTGTCGCATTCAATGGAGGGAAGATATGGTCGTGATCAGCGGCAGTCCAACATGGCTTCCATCAATGGAACATTTGTGGCAGCAAAAAAGCGGATGCCCCCAGGCAAGCGGCATAAGGGGAAACATTGAATGTGAACGAGCGACGGCCCTTTTGTCGCTGCGACGCTTAGTGACAGTGGCGACGTGCTGCAGCACTTCAATTCTGGTGCAGGGAGCAGACTGCGCTGCGCCAGCAGCTTTCCAAGGCCTGCCACTCGCTAAATAGACGCCTGAGCTATTATCTCGCAGCTCTCTAAGAGGTCGCAGAGCTGTGGGACGTGTTGCTATGGGATCAGCGCGTGTCGTACAAGATGATCGTTTCGGGTGCACAGATCCCTAACCTTGGCGACGCGTTGCGATCGCAGCGAGGCCTGAGATGCTGAGTTACGGACGTACTACTGATGCTTTGGACCGGCTGCTGATGCTAGAGCCTGTTTGAACAGTGACTGATATAGCTGAGACGTAAGCTGTAAAACGACTTTGATTAATGGTGGCGTGAGCTTGATATACTGATTGTGCTGATGAGAGTTGTCTCAAGTTCCCGACTCGCGACGCGACGCGTAGCGGAAGATGATGAGATTGGGATGAAATACACGCGAAGCAACATCAACCAACCCAAATGAGAACCAACACCTTGGGCTGAGCGGCTTGGCCCTTGCACTATATACATAGAGATGAGGACAAATGCGCATATCTCACTTGTGAGAATAGTAGCTCATGATCTGGATTTTCAGCACCCACACGCCAGAACTGATTATCGACCTTCACGCGAGGCTTGGGCTGGCGCTGCAGCAAGCATCCGCGCCGTTGCCGTTTGAGGGTAGCGCTTTCACATGACCATGCGGCCCGAGAGGCAAAGGCTGGTTTCGGCGCTGGTAAGCTCCTTTCATGATGAGAGTGAAAGCAGCGGTAGCGGCGAGACGCTCGCCGACAAGGAACGTTTGGCATCTCGCATCCTTGCACAGCAAACCAGGGAGCCTGCTCTGCGCCCAGAAGAGCTGAAGACCCACTTTGACGAGTGAGTCAAAGGCTGGCTTGAGACTTGCGACGACACCCGCATCTGACGTTGATTCCGGTTGCATTTTCCCAATAGCCTCGCATTGAAGCACAAAGTATCACTTCGGAGCGAGCTCGCCGAGGCCATCACGTCAGTCTACAAGACAACCGTGTCGGTCGTCTCCGAGTCCGACAAGATCTATCAATCGGCCCTGGAGCTACATGAATTGCAACGACACGAAGTGCAATATTTGAACAAAGATGGTGCACCGAAGGGGAAAAGCCTCGCCCCTCCAGCTGAACCGCTGCTTCGAAACAGATCGCTGCCTGAGATGCTGAAGCTCCTGGTGAGATGCTCTGAACGAAGTTTTTATGATTGCCCGTTGACAATCAACACTGTTTGGCTCTGGCAGCTCGAGCTGTCTCACCAACCAACACTTTCAACCCAAGCTCATGCGGCAATCATTCTAAATTGTTCATCTGACAGTAAAAGCGGATCGATGTACCTGACTCCCGAGCAGAAACAGATCCAAGACTGCAAGGTGTGGCAGCAAATCTTGAAAGAGGATCCTTTAGTTGGAGAAGGCTGGGATGAGGACGAAAACGATTCCTTCGACAGTGATGATTGGAGTGAAGATGAGTCCGTGTCGGAGAAGGGAAGCAACCGACGGGAGCCATCAAGGCGCGGAACATCTTCGCTGAAGGAGCCGAAGCATCGAGGGGACTACGAGACGGACGCAGGTCTGAGTGCAAATTTGTGGAAGGAAAACTATGAAAAGCAGCAGCAATATCTGCAAACTTTTCGAGAGGAAACTGATCAAGCTGTTGCAAAATGGCATTACGAGGCGCCTCCCTACGCCGACCCGCGTCAGCTGTCCGTCTCTTCGTGGGGTGAGTGAGGTGTGATCAAGACTATGCAGCCGATGGTGGCTGACGGCAATCCGATGTGTTTGCCGCAGACGAAAAGAAGCTAGCCACTGCGGATGCCATTCGCGAGCTTTTGACCCGACTCTGCTCAAGCTCGCTCAGCACAGACACGTCATTTCTCTCCATCAACCACATTTCTGCCGGAGCTGCGAAGGCGCCGTGGCGACGGGCCGTGGCTCTGCACCAGCATGTTCGCGTCGTAGCGGATACCGCCGTGTACCTGGCAGCCACTCCTTCCATGCTCCTTCAGTCATTCGGAGAAGCTCTTTCGATCACCCTCGAGGAATGGAACGCATGGCTGGCATCGGAAGATTCCCGCCTTGCACAATATGCGGCGCAGCGCGGCGACAGCAAAGATTCGATTTCGCTGCTTACTACCCTCAGGATTGTCGAGCAACGAGCAGCGGGGCTCAACACGCTTTACGAGCTCGTAGCCTCGGAACAAGAAGCTGCTGGATTCGACGCCATATCACTGGTCAACAAGGTGCACGCGCTGATCCTCTCTCATCAGACGACTCGGAGCCCAGTCAATGTCGGCGTTGAAAAAGCTCTCTCACGGTGCTTCAGCGCCCTTGCCAAACCATTGATTGGCGGCGTGTCTCGATGGCTGATGCTAGGCGCACCGTTCGACAATGACCTCGCCGACGGAGAACGCGCGTGGAGTTGCACGTCGGAGCTGTTCAAGCGCGATCCAAGCGTTTCGTGCTTCGACGACAAATTTTGGACTGCAGGATATACGTATGCGACAGACCAAGGCGGACAGCCGCATGTGCCGGCTTTCATGGCGCCTCATGCAAAGACCCTGCTGCAAGCGGGTATGAGCATCGGCTTGCTTCGCGCATTTCGCGACGAAGCAGATGTGCCGCCTTTCGATCGCCCAACATCCTTTTCGCTTCAATACGACAGTAGCAAGAAAGAAGGCATGGAGATCGAGTCCGCGATACCCATGGCGCAAGCGGCTATCCAAGCGATGCTGCCTCAGATCCGACTCTCGCAAAAGCGCGCGCATGACTATTATGTCCTCCCCACTGTCGAAGACGGTCGTGATCTTTACGGCCATCTCACTGCCATTCAAGACCTCTTTTTGATGCGTAGAGGCGCAGAAATGCACGCTTGGTGCGAAGAAATATTCTTGAAGGTGTGTGTGCAAATAGCTACACCTGATCAGGCAGAGCTGTTAGAATTTCCACTGATGCGGTCATGGATTCGCAGATCGCCTCGAACGAGGCGATCGACGCTCAAACACTGACCACCGCGCTGCGAGACTCGGCGCAAGCAGAGCAGTGGCTTGACACTAGTCTGGTTAGCTTCAAGTTTCAAAGCGCGATCGTCAAAGACCCTTTCTCGCTCGAATGGGTCCGCGCCTTGCAGATCGGCTACGCAGTCCCGTGGCCTCTGACATTCGTCATTTCCGGCGATGCCCTGTCGCTCTACCGTTCGACTTTCTCGCTACTGCTCAGCCTCAAGCGGGTCAAGCATCTCGTCGACCGAATAGGCAGGACAAAACCTGGCACCGCGGCAGAGCGTAGTTTTGCGATCGGATTACCAGACCCGAAACAACTTTATCCTCTCCGCCGACGTCTGATTTGGCTCGTCAACACTTTCACCAGCTATTGCAATACAGATGTGAGTAACTTTGGGAACCCGCAAAATGATGCTTGCTGACCTGCATTCTGCTCACGCCTGTAGGTGATTGGGAAGTTCAATGCAAAGCTCGGTGCAGGCCTGTCCCGCGCGTCGTCCGTCAACGGATTGATTGAAGCACACGATGCCGCTCTGCGCGATTTGCGAAAGCATCTCTTCCTGGACAAAGCCCACGCCAAGCTGCATACGCTCATGCTTGAATTGCTGCGCTACTGCATGCAGGTCGCCCATTGCCACTTTACCTACCAGTCAGGTGGAATGGCCAAGTTAGTCGTTGCGCCGCCGCAGCTGCGATCCAGGCACCGCCGCAGAAGGCGCCGACAGAAGAGCTTGGACAGTGACAGCGATGAAAACATGGCGCAGGTTATGGGTGCCTTCGCAGAGGCGGCTGCGTTGCGCCAGCGCTCTTCGAGACGGGAAGAAGGACGAACTGAGGGCACAGCTGCTGCAGATGCTTCGTTGTCCGTATCGACGCTGCACGTCTCGACTCTCTCCATCTCGGCGGTGGCATCCGCTTCGCTTGCCGAATTGCAGGAGGCCGACTTTGAGCAGCAGCTCGCCACGCTCGACCGGCACTTCACGGGAAAGGTGGCCGAGTTCAAGGCTACTCTACAGAGGGCCATCGAACAGACGGGCGGCGAGAAGTTCAAGGAGTCGAGGGAGACGCTGCAGAATCTTGCGTATGTCTGCTTGAATTGGGCGTGATTCATCTTCGAAGGGCAAGTCACTGTATGTGAGCATGTCGCTCGGCGCTGGTCACTTGAGCTGCACCAGTCAGCAAATTTGCCACCTCTATGACTGCCGCTTGACCTCCTGCAATGCATCATCATGAAGCGTTTCGCTAGTATCGTAAATTCATGAAGTCTACTCGTGTGCTGCAGACAACAAGCAACCTGGGCTGAGGAATATGCATACCTTAGGTTCTGAAGTAATCCCAGATAACGTACATATGTGCTTGTACCTTTTGCGGTGCCATGCTACTGCTGCTGACGGCAATGAAGGTCCTGATTTCTGAGTGCACGGGAGGTATGCTTTGCGCCACCAAATGATCGCTGACGAGATGAAGTGCTGAAGTCTGACGAAGAGGTGCTATGGAGTTTTAGCACCTGGCAGTCGGCGGCGCTCTATCGGAACAGATGTTTGATATCATCGATATTCCGTTGCGCAGAGTCCCAACAGGCAGGCGCGGGTTCCCCAGGTGCTTGCTCCCGCCTTTTTCATACGGTACCATCATTGTTGGAGTCGCACTTGTCGAGTACACCCTCAGACTAATCTGGTGCCAGGTCGTGGTGAGCGATACATACAATGTCGCTCACTGTCATCCAGCGGTCCGAATGCCAGGCGCTTCGTCATTTCATCATTAATCAGGTGAGAGTCCAGGACTCAAGCATGTTCAGGCAGAACCAGGCTTAAGCATTTCGTCAACAAGCATCCAGCATTTGCGATGTAGACATGAGTGCAACAAGGTCGAGATCCAGGTTGGTGTCCACTACTACCGAGAACAGATGAGCAGTCTGCACTCTGGTCTCTGCGCAGTTGCCCTGTTTGTACGTATAGTCATCGGAAGAATGTCTACTGTGTGCGGTCCAGAATTTAATTCCGACATCCACGTTCGTTGGAAATGGTGGTTTGCCTGCCAGGGTCCCGAGGAGATCCAGGCGTGTCAGGTGTGTCCCCCCTCCTCTATCCCAGCACCCAACAACCAGGAACCCTACTGGGCCAGGAACGAGAGTTGGACCAGGGTACACAGGGATGGCCCAGACGCTCTTCCAGCTCGTTCCTATGAAGAGCCAATTGGCGTCTCGAAAAACTGCCAAAACTCAAGCCGCACTTCATCACGTCATCAACACTTCCAAACTTTTCACTTCAAACGAGAGCGCAAGTTCGACTCTACATATTAGAGAACAGAGTGGGAGCAGTGAGCAGGCAGACCATGATTCAGCCTCATGTTAGCATGGTTCGATCATGGAGACTTGCATTTGTAAACATTTGAGCCGACCTACATACTTTCCTCTGTTTTATGACAGTCCTATCCTATACATACGAATATTTATTTCGATATTTTCTCGCTAATAGCCCACATCTAATGCTCCAATTCCAAGGTCAGGGCCTCAACACGGCAACGCGTCAACCCTCAACGTGTCCAAAACCTGCTTCCTTCAAACGATTTCGCCAAACCATAGTTGCGCCTATCCCCGCAAGCGAGATTTGGGATGGTACCATAGTCCAGGGCCTTTCTTCCAGCGCCTCAGCGACATGTTTAAGGCAAGGGCGAAAGCCTTACAGCCTCGAGCTGGCTTCTTTTGCGACTGCATTTCGTTACCAGCGTCACCCCTCTATGACTTGGAAATTGTCTGGAATGGTCTCAAGCGATAAGTCACACATCAGCGTTCACCGCTCATGACAATAAGAGGCACAAATACAATGTATAAATGTATAGGAAGTCCATCGACATTGAACATGAGAATGCGTGCATTCTGTGCAGAGCCATGTACAGTTGTCACCTGGCACTTGGCTACTATACCATACTTGACATACATACTGCAGAGCTCAAGAGCTCACTTTCAGATTTCAGGCATGTTCAGATGACAATATATATTTATATTTTATCAATGACCTATTCAAACGGTGCACACATGTGAGGTGTACGAGTGCATATATGTATATAGTTATTGGATTGCTCATCTCCGAGAGTCCTCCGTGCCTGATCGCTTGATCGCTGATGCCATGGAAACTGAAAAGTATTATGTAATGACACTCTTTTTGCCTCGCCAACCATCAAAATCAGAATCAATTTCAATTATAGGGTCAAGTTTGCAATTATACATATTTGTTCAGCCTATGTGGGAGTCCACCATGTGTGACGCGGAAGGTGGAGTCAGTAAACTTGAACAAGCAATACCAAAGCCGAAGAACAGTTGTTCAGACTATGCCTTCCAGTCACAGATAATTGGAAACTAGGATGGGGCTCCCAAAGAGTATTGCTCGTGCACGAAGCCAAAAAAACGCTGTGAGACTACCACCTCGCTGTTGAGTGCGGCTGAGTATCTAAGCATTGCTACGCTCCAATTGTCCTTATGTGGCTCACCTGTGAGCTTTATATGCCCAGCCGCTGACTGCCACCACCTATATATAGTCCATACATTTTACAGTGTATTTAGCCTACTTGATGTTGAGCATGAACTCAAGTTTCACATGATATACTTTGAATCTGACCATATCTGACTCTGTCAGTGTATTGATTTCAATAATGGCTTTCACACCGTTTCAAACAAATTATAAGTGCATGGGCTTGATATAATGCAATTCATCGATCTATGTAATCATCGCGACGGATGGGGGAGAAAGGGCCTCGGTTTGACTTACCTGATATTTGACGCCTGAGATAGCTTGACATCTGATGCTTGATGCTTGCTGGAACGCTTGGGTATAGGAACAGGCTTGCGCTTTTGAGTTCCGGGCTTCATTTGGGATTTAGTGCTGATGCATATCTTATCTATCTCTCAATCATGGCGGAGAGCTTCACACTTTCGCGAGTGGTCGCAATTTTGTGGGGCTGCGTCAATCACATCGGCGCATCAGGCCTCGTGCTGCCCAGGAGGGATTTCGAGAGCCTGACTTCGCGGATCCGAGAGCTCCTGGGCCTTTTGCGGATATGCCTACATTTTCTGGAAGTGTGCCTCCAAAGTCCTAACCATTCAAACTGCCACTCGATTCAATTGCTTGCATTGTTTCACTTTTTGTCAACGCAGAGGACAGCGGAACACGGAATTCGGGAAGTCCGCATTTTCACAGCCAAAAGAGATGTGAAAAAATATTCCATGAGAGACAGCCTCAGGCATTTGTTATGCGGCTTGCCGACTGACAAAAAAGTGGTGCTATCCACTGCTTTCCATTTTGGTCGCTACATACAAGTAGATACTCGGGGGTTGGTCTCTGGAGAGTCTTGAACATGGTCAACCTCAGGCACACAGAGGGCATATGTAAACTGCTGCAGGCAGCAGATGGCAGCTGTACACTGGTAGCAGTTGCCTCGTTCCTATGGCTTGATTATGACAATGGAAGTGCATTGGCATGTATGCACCGGATTCGGCCTCCCCGTAAAAGCCACACCAAAGTGATCACTTCTCGTCTGCACTTGCCCATTGTTCCGCACAACGCTGTGCACTGGCGTCTTGACAGTTGCTATCCCCGCGTAGGCTGCTCACGGTCGCCCGTCCTATGTCCATCGATACCCGTTTCGGGCCCTTATCAAAACACCAGATATGTACATAGTGGGAGCTTGATATTGCTAATCAAAAAAAGAACTCGTGCAACCTGCGACATTGTGGCTTGCGGCGAGGCTGCGACACTCCACTGGACTGCGTAGTGTGTGCATGCCTTACACTGCAAGCACTTGCGCAGTTCCAGGTCTCTTGCGTGTGCTTTCATAATCGCCATGAGTCCGAAATGGGCAGTCTGCTCGCCAACACCAGCATCCAGTCAACAGAGGCCATGAATTCTGAGGGCTGGCCTGCATACGTACCTGTCCGCCAGCCACTCACGCCGACAGACAAATGCGCATAACGTTGACCTCGAGAGCCGCTGGCAGGCGCAGGCATTGACCACAGCAGCGCTTCCGAAAAAGGTCCAGATGATGCCAGACAGTGGCCAGACTGACACAGCGGCAGCCCCCGCAGAAAGCAAGACGAAGCCTGCAGGCACATCTCCCTGAGAACTTGCAACCGAGCCGCGTCATTCGATCACACTCCCGTTTATTCCAAGTTCCAACCCTCACAACAATATCGTATTGCGAGTCTGCCTGACCTTTCACCTTGGTGTAAAGAACAGAATTTGTGCCCCACGTCCAAGACGTGCCCTCATCTCTGGTTCTCCAGATGTCTCATCTTGCTCATCGCTCATGCTCGTCCATCGTATCTTCGACATCAATGGTCCTGAATTACTGGCTTGCATGTGGAGAAATAAAGTCTCTCTGATGTGCCCCACGTGCCGTCGACACCCCAGAGACCTAACCATAAAAGGTTAGGGGGATAGGCCTTAGCCAGAAGCCCTCCTTAAATAGCTTCCATGGGCCATTCCACTTGTCACGCAACAGCGCATCGACCCTTGCTCGTCGCCTGCAAGGCTGCAGATGGCTAACTTCGACCCTTTCATAACGCTACAGATACGATACCTTTAACATTCGGGCATCGCGCCACCTCCAATCCTCACCTTGGGCTCCCAGCGATGATACTTGCGACTGGCAACTGTTCAATACAGCCCTCGACCGCCATGTTTCGACCCTTCGAGAAAGAACGTGTGGCGCGCGGATACGGACGGCCTATCGTATCTGACACCATCAACGATTCACGTATCCAGGGCTTTCTACATTGTCATGACCGAGACTCCACGGAAAGCTCGATGTCTTCATCTGCTATCGGAGCTTCGGCTGCTAATTGGCGTGGACTTGACCAACAGTTGCATCATCACTACTCAGAATCGATGACGACCTCCGCCTCGTATCACCCGCGCCCCAATTACAATACTTATCTGTCTGGCACAGCAGGGAGCCATGAGCACGATGTTTATTCGTCGTCGGTCTCCAGCGCAAACAACCAATTCAAGCCTAACCCAACACATGCGCATCCATATGACCGGTGGCAGCCGTGCACGGTAGAGATAGCATCCCAACCAGTCCTTCAGCAACATCAACTGCTATCCGAAGGGCCTGACTCGAGTCCCGCCGCTGATGCGATCGAACCGATGATTCCCTTATCGCCAAGTTCCGACAGCACGGCGTTGTCCAGCTCGCCAGTCACTGCTGGTCTTACGGCTTTAGTTCCATTAAGCGAATTTGTCGCTCCAGAGCCCCAGCTGTCACCGTCGTCTTCCACTTCACCAGGCAGGATCAGTGCTGAAGTTCTTGGTGGTAGCAGCGGGTCTGCGACGGGCTCCAGCTCTGGATCGGTCACCGTCGGATTCGGCGCACTGATTGTCGGCAGCTCAGTATTGGCAGACAAATTCGCGACCTCCCTGCTGTCCTCCCAAGAGAAGATGCTGCACGATGCCCAAGTCATCGCCAAATTGCGCGCGAGGTGTGAACCAGGTGGCGAGACGGATGCGGCATGCGACTTTTGTAGGAAAAGGAAGATCAAGGTGAGAGAGGCACACCTTCGCTGGCTGCATACCGGACGAAAATTGCTCCATTGCGCACGGTGCGTATCAGAAACTAATGATGGACATTTTATTTTATATTTTGGTCCTGTTTGGAATGGAATACAGTGCGATCGAGTCAAGCCAATGTGTGGCAAGTGCCAAAAGCTTGGGAGAGCGTGCATGATCACGGATACCTTGAAGAAGAGGGGGCCGCCGACTAAGTGAGTGTCAAGGTGATGACGTGTAAACCACACATCTGAGTGCATGCATTCTGACATGTCTACCTTGCCTCTTGTTTGATCAACAGAGTAGAGAAATTGATGCTGCATGCTGCTGGTGTGGATTTCCAAAGCCGACGGATTCGCAAAAGAGAGAGAGAGCTGGCCAGAGCCCATATCCAAGCTTTTGCCTCCTCAAGCGATACAGGGTATGATTCAGCGTCGCAACCCTCGCCTGAAAGTGAGTCAAGCTCTGGGCGTCAGACGCTGGGCAACGCAAGCACTTCATTGTCCGGTACTTCGAAAGAGCCGATTTCCTCAAGCACTTCGGCCCGAAGCCGTCGATTGCGTCAGCAGCGCCTGGTAGTAAGCAAGGAACATCTTGAACCCATTCCCGTCTCCGTTCCACGCAGCGCTACTCGGGCGTACATTGACAAGATAAGCCACAGCAGCTATCCTGAGCATCAATGGAGCGCCAGCGGGTTTGACTTAGCGCATGACCATTGTGACCTTTCCCCGCACAGCGTACCGTCATGGGTGTCAGTCCTGCCGCCTTCGACGACTTGTAGGCAGCGAACGTCCACGGGGTCTGCAAGCATCTATGACTCGCCCATAAGCGTCTTGAAGTCTCTTTCAAGCACTTTCGACTCATCAGCGAGCATCGTGGACTCACCTGCTCCTCAGCGCGGCTTCATCATGGATGGCGTCGACAGTACAATGAGTGGCAGCATTGTCCCATTGCCTTTCAGCCTGCTTGGTGGCAGCACAGGTGCGAGCATCGATGACCTTGCTGCCACGTCCACTGTAGCCACGGGGACACCGCAGCAGTGGAGCAGGCTGCCGATGTTTTCAAACGGGTCTTTACCCGCCGAACATGGGCTGCCGCCATCGCAGGGGCTTCAGTCTCCTCGTCACCATCAACTTGCCCCAGTGGAAAGGTTTCATGCTGGCGCATTCCAGTAGTATTCAAGCAGCGCGCCGGACGGACTCGCCGGACCGGTGTGGGAGTGCGTCTCGCACGTGCCAGACAAAACATCTGAAGTCTATCGCCAGGATGTTTACGCGCAGTCGCATCCGATGAGCTCCGATGCTAATGTGATCCGTCACCTCGAATGGCAGAAGCGGTACTCGGCGCTACATTGAATCGCAACAGCAGCTCGAGAATTCAACCTCTAACTGGCCAGGGAGGGACGATACGGAAAGCCTTTAGCCAGCTTGTCGCAAGCCGCTTGCCGAGCGAGCCTATTTTACGAAATCTCTTTTGCAGCAGTGCAGACTGTATTCAAACCTCTTCCTATCGCAAGACTGTATTATTGCTTTCGACAAGCGTTCTGTATGTTTAACCGTCTTGTCCTACTATCAATCTATAAAATGGATCTAAAATAGCAGTGACTCCTTCAGGTCGTACAAACGCGGACCAAGTCCGACGCAGTACTTTGAACGTGGGTACGTTCTTGAAATGGCAGAGCGCACGGAATACAAGAGCAGCGCATTCACATCCTGCGGGCCGTCCAACCGCCTGGCGTCCAGTTCCTCAAATGTAGGTGGATATAACAGAGTCTGAAGGGTCAAAGCACCGAGCCGAAGACTGCAAGAAAGTGTGTCCACAAGCCGAAGACGCAGCGCGCTGTCGAGAGCGTTCCAAACTGCTTCGGTCAGTCGTGGTCGCATGAACATTGGGCCTGAAAGTGAACGGATGGCCGATGAGCTTTCCGCCAACAAAAGTTGCATGCACTACCCCTGCAACCCACTCACGCAACTGGACCGTCGCCGCATGCAAGTCTTCCTCTGTATTCAGAACCCAGAGAGAATCACTTCTCGACGTAGCCAGGCGGACAACCCTGCCTCGGTCGTGTCGGAGCATAGGTGACAACTCATTGAACAGCATTGCGGCCTCCGAGTCCCGGGGAGAGTCGATCGCGTCGTGCACCATGGGCGCCAAGCCTGCGGGAACGAGTATGAGACCACGAAGAAGGAGATTGTGCGAGTTGCAGTACGACATGGCGGTGCTCTTGGCATGCGCGAGCCCTTCGGGAGTTGAAACGTCGCACACGACCGGTATGACTGCGCCAAATTCGCTGCGTCGAGAATCCTCGCCTACTCGAAGTCCTTTCCACAGATCGCGGAAGCCGACGATGCCAGATGCGGCGGACCATTGGCCCCAGCTCAGGGTTCGCGACCGCGAGCGTCGGCCCGGGGTGCTGCTTGAAGGCGGGGAGGAAGGGCGGCTGCGTGCTTCTTCGGGAGAACGAGGCGTTCTGGGTGTTGTGTCTTCCTCGTGCGTTTGGGATGCTCGAGGATGCTCAAGCTTGGCCTTCTTGGAAGCCCATGCATGGATCAGAGGGCTCAGGTCGTCGGGGCCGGGTACTAGTGTAATGACAGTGAATGGCTCTCGCCCGCTACGGTGATTGCGGGCGCCAAAGTACGAAACGTCTGTCGAGAACAGGCAAAGAAGCTTGTCGTACAAGCGATTTAGAAGGCTGGCGTGGGTCGGTAGCGAAGCTGAAGACGCGGTCGCTTTGCGCGGGGAAGGAAAGCGAGAGCCGGACACGCATGTCCGGCAGGATGCGAGCGATATCGCCAGGCTTTGTGCTAAGAGTTGCGAGCTTGGTGCACCGTACAGTACGATGGCCGAACCTTTGCTTGCGTCGCACCAGGCCCCTTGAGATGCACCACTAGGTGTAGCATGTCGCGAGGGAGACGCGCGAGAATGCGCCCCGAAAGTCGATCTCGCAGACCCTAAGGCCTCGTCAAGACGCAGGACATCGTAGCATAGCCAAAAGTAGAGACTGCAGCACCATGTCAGAAACGCTTCGAGCAGGAAGCTGCACGCCGTCAAGATTTCGGCTAGTCGCCAAGCAGTTCTCTCAAGCAGGCTGGGATGGAGCTTCCGTTTCGCCTCTCTACGATGTCGCTTGCTGCTGCCGCTGTCGCGCTGCCGGCCCTCCCACTCGGGGAAGCCGTAGTGAGCTGAAGACGATGACGCCATATCGAGCTCATGCAGACGACTTCCGTGAGTTGCGCGGTCCTTGTCCGCCGCATTGCCCGATGGCCTGGCGTGCAACTCGAGATCGTGGGAACTTCATGCTCTCCCTTGGATCTTTAAGTCAAAGGTGATGAACCCATATTTATGCCGGTAGCTTTCCATGACTATTGCCTCGGTGTGGGTGGTTGATGCGGCTCACGCGCGGCCCGAGGGACGAAAAGGCACGCGGTCCTTGTCAGTGGTGGTGCGTGCGCGCAGCGGGTGAGAGAAGAGCGACATGATTGCCAACGTCTGTGACTAGTGAGATGCTGTTGGGCAAGCCTTCCAACATCGACCTTCTCAACACCTGGATGCTTTTACGATTTTGTTACAACCACAACTTACCAATGGTTGCGCTGTGAAGGAGTAAGGCAAAAGTATACATTGAATATGTCTGCCCAGGGAGCTGTGCCGACGACGGGCCAGGCGCAGTCCGGCGCCAGTCCAGCTGCAGCGGGTCCAGCTCAGTTCATCGGTGCACTTATCTCCCTCATCTCCAAATCAGACATCAGGTATCAAGGCATCCTGGCGCAGATTGATCCTGCAGCCGCCACCATTTCGCTCGAGCAAGGTGAGTTTCGCTGCATCCAGTAATGTATCGTCTAATTTACGGCTAAACGAGCGTTCATTCTTTCCATAGTCAAGAGCTTTGGAACAGAAGGAAGGCTTGCATCACAGGGTCGCCACTCAGAGGAGATCCCACCTGCTTATGACAATGTCTACGAATATGTCGTTTTCAGAGCGGGTGACGTCAAAGATCTCAAGATCGACGACCCGAATCCGCAAAGGAGCCAGCCTCCTCCGCCACCGCAACAAATGCAAGATCCTGCGATTCTTGGAGTGGGTGTTCCTCGTGGATCTTCTTTGCAGCTGGCCGTTTCGCTCACATCAGCTATGGTTGTTTTATGCCTAGGCTCGAGGACCCTCCGGACCGCCACAAGGCCCGCCTGGGCCAGGAGGGCCTGGCGGTATGTATGGTATGCCCCCTCCTCCACCTTTTGGTCCCCCTGGTGGCTATGGCTCTCCATGGGGTGCGCCTGGCCCCGGCAGTCCGTTTGGGCCACTTCCTCCTCCTCCCCATCACATGCAACCTCCACCGCCTCACCATCGGCAGCAGCCCCAACAGCAACAGCAACAACATCAAGAAGTCAGGCCTTCGCAAGAGCAGGCCAAGGCGTCGCCCGCTCCCCCTGTAGCACCAGTTGTACCTGCTACCCCCGCAATCGCAACCGGACCCCAGGCTCAGGCCAAGCCCCCTACAGCTGATGTCCCAGTAGAGGCTTCTCCGGCCGTGAGAGCTAGCCCGCCGGAGCAAGCGCCAGCTCCTCCTTTGGCAGCTAAGGCAGCACAAAAGAATATCAGCATCGAGGACGAGAGCGCAAGGGCTGATGGCGCAGCCGCTGCCGATGCGCTGGTGTCCGAGCTGGCTGGCCTAGCCGTTACGCCTCAGCGGGATCAGACGAGCGCTACTGTCATGACTAATGCGACGGGCCGCAAAGCCGCCACCGGCGTCGGCGCGCAACACAACTTGCCACCTCGTCCTGCCGTGCCGCATCACGCGGACAACTCTGGAGAACATCAGCCGAGGAGAAGGAGGGAAGGGGGCGGAAACCGAGGACAAAGAGGCCCTCGACATGATGGTATCGCCCTGCCCGCTGATGCGAGTGGAGCTGACTTTGACTTTGAGAGTGCAAATGCCAAATTTGCCAAGGAAAAGGATGCCCTCGCGCACGGAGGCGATGCAGAAGCAAACGCACCAAACGGATCAGGCACACTCGATGCCATCCCGGCCCCCGTTGCGGAGCCGAAAAGCTTCTACGACAAGAGCGGCTTCTTTGACGATATCAGCAGCGAGATCAAAGAGCGGCACGAGACGTTCAACGGCAACAACAACCCAAGGCAGAACCGCTTTGCCGAGCAGCAGAAGAACATGGCGACGTTTGGCGAATCTGGCACAAGCCATGGGCATGGGGGTCGCGGAGGACGCGGCAGAGGGCGAGGCGGAAGGGGTGGAGGCAGGGGCGGCCGTGGAGGCAGAGGCACGGCCAGAGGCCGCGGCGGCGCTACACACCACGGAGACGCGGTTGATCCCACGTTGGGATTTTGAGGATTGGCCCGACCTTTTGGGGTATCATCCGCCCTGGAATGGTGGTGCTAACCCCTTGCGGGAAGCGCACTGTAGCATTTTGCAAACCACCTTGTGTTCAGCCGCCGGGGTGGCTGCAGCTGCTACGCAGTTGCCCAAGCATGCATCAAGATATGTACACATTTAAAACACTGGCTGGAAAATGTTACCATTGAATAAAAGTGTGTTTGTTTTCGGACCCTCGGTTGCTCCAATCTGCACACTCTGTTCGCTAGTTGAAATGCTACACTCAATATTCAGACCGTCTTTTGCCTAGCTTGTCCCCTGTGTGATTGAATCAGCCACGATTCAAATTCAAACGCCATGTCAGCTGAGCCTTTTGTGGGAAGAAGAGGCATCCAGCTCTCCACTGCTCAATCGCGGCAGGAATCCGAGTGGGAACGATTGGCTGAGAGCAATTTAGGCTTGCTTGGCACCTGAGCGACCTCCAATCCTGGACGCGCTGTACGAGCTACGACAGGCACTTGTAGGCCAGCCTCGCTTGGGGTGCTTCATCCAGTTGATGATGGCCACGCTCGCCTTGTTACCTCGACCGATGCCTGCATGTTGCAACTCAATCATTCCCATGGAGGTCTCGGGTGATGAGGCGGCTGGAGCTTGTCTGGAGTCCCCTGATCTGGCTGGGGCGACGAGCGCGTCCAAGCCGAAGCGAATCTGTGCCGCAGTGCCGGCCGAGAAACGCCCATCCGCACTGGCGCGAAGACAGGACTCTTGTGTCTTCAGAGTCTGAGCAACACTGCACTGCACCACTCTCACTCGACGGCACCAGACAGGAAGGAACGAGTCCGCTTCCTCCGCCGCAGCACCAACAGCTCCAGGCGGCTCCAGCGGCCAGCAGCTCCCATCTCGTTTCGCTTCTCGTCTAAAATTGGTTTCGCTTGGAGTTTTTAGTTGCAGCACATCCTGTTCGCATTGCGTGACACTTTTGCCAGAATCAAGTGGATGGGGGGGAGAAGAGATCGCTGTACTTGTGTGTTTTGCTCTAAACAAAGGAGCAGGAGGGCTTGAGCTGGCAGCAGCTGCCTGTCAAAGTCTTGTGCGGTGGGCCGCGTGCAGCACTGGGGCGCGATCAGGTGGGCGCACTGAGTGACGCTGCTCTGATGGTCTGACCCCTCTCACGCACACACACTCTCCGCGCGCGCGCTCCCACTTCTTAGCGCAGTGTGGACTGTGAAGCACATGCTCGGACGACCTCAAAAAGCAGCACGTTGATGCACATCACCACAGTCTTCCTTCTCTTGCACAAGACATCCTTGCCCGACAAGTAGCCCGCTCGCACTGACACCAAGTCGGCTGAGACGCAGGCAGGCTGGGACGCCTGCGTTCACGCTCTCCGGCACACTCAGTCGCCAAGCCGGGCACTCGCGTTCGCGCAGCGCGCAAGCATGAGCGGCCTCGCAGATGGGGGCATGGGCTTCGTTGGCGGCGGAGGTGGGGGTGGTGGCATGGGCAGCGCGGGAGGAAACATGCTGCAACCCTTGCCTCAAGCTGGGAATGGAATGGGGGGAGCTGCCGCTGGTGGACCAGGCGTTGCTGGTGCTGGCATGGGCTTGAATGGTGCAGGCGGGGGCGGTGGCTGTATGGGCTCCGGGAGCGGAGCTGGAAGCAACCAAGATACTTCAAGCAATGGCCAATCAGAATACACGCTCGCTGGCATCCTGCACTACTTGCAGAGCGAGTGGAGACGCTACGAGAGGGACAGAAACGAATGGGAGATCGAACGGGCAGAGATGAGAGTGAGCTTCGTTGTACCCTTTTGGCCCGGACCCTACTTCATGTGTTCCTAGCCGGTCACTTACTTGGTCTCATCCTCTGCGCAGGCCCGTATCGCTCTTCTCGAGGGCGAGCGTCGAGGAATCGAGAACCTCAAGACCGATCTTATGCGGAGAGTCAAAATGCTCGAGTACGCCCTTCGGCAAGAAAGGTGAGAGGGGCTGGAGCTTCCACGCTGTGCTTAAAGCCTTTCTCACACCATCTCCTTATATCCTTCTTTGCTGCTCATACGCACCAGATCCAAATACTTTTCTTCATCAGGCAACGCGCCTTCTGCGGCTGCAGCCGCAGCAGCAGCTGCCAAGCACGCCTTGGGCGAGAGGAGCGCTTCTGGGAGTGGTCGAACTTCACCATCTAGGAGCGATGCAGAGGCAGGTGAGTATCCGCGTCTGCTCGCCGTGGAACAGACGGGACTAAGGCTGATGCATACTATCGCGCTGTGCACTCCCCTGCGGCAGATGTGGGAGCAGCACATGTCAAGGCTGGCTCGACGCTGTCCTTGACGCCCTCCATCCTCGGTACCCTCAATGGCACCGGTCCAGGATCCGATGCTGGCAGCACCAAAGGAGGGACTTCTTCGCTCAGTCGCCAGCTCACTAACAGCGCCAAGGATCCGCGATCGCGCGCAAAGAGCAGATACTATCTCAAACAGTGGGTCATATGGAAACGTGACGCGATCCTTTGCTTCTTTCTCCGCGATTCTCACAAACAAACTGCCTTGATGTCTGCCAGATGCTTGCAAGAGATCAATTACCTTACCAGCGTCAGCGTGCTCAACCCTCTCCCCGATCGCGGGATCGAGTCAATGGTTGGTGCACAGTATGGAAGTACCCCCGGTCCTCCTCGTCCGCGCCGGACAGTCGGTGACAACTACAACAGTCCACTGCTCGGTCACCCGAGCGAAGGCGCCGCGGCTTCCCTACCATCTCCGTCTTCGTACAAACGCTCTCCGTTGGGCCAGGGCAGCTTCAACGCATTGCACCAGCAGCCGGACGCAGAGTTGGGCCGCGCACGATCGCTGACGAGCAAAGCGCCCTACAACCAGGAGCCGCTGATGGAGGCCAATGAGCCCAACGCCGGGGAAGAATTGTCTCAGCCCGCCGAGATTGTACCTTCTTCAAATCCGTCTGGCGTTGCAGCAGGAGCAGTAGGACAGGGCCATCCGACCATCGAGATCGGCAAGCCGTCCTCTCCGCCATCGTTTACGACCGACGCGCCGTATGACGCGCCGCCCAAGTCCCCGGCGATGGGCACCACGCCACTTCCCAACGGAGGAAGCGTCGAGCCGTATGTGACAGATCGCGACTCAGACTCCTCAGCGACGAGCAGGAGCTGGGGCTCCTTCTCCTCGGGCGAAGAGTCCGAAGGCGGCTTTCCCGACGCCTCATCTGCTCCCTCAGTTTCTGTAGCAGGAGCAACAACGGCAGTGTCGCCATCGACAACATCGACTTCAGTCCCTCCTGCAGACAACGACGACGAGGACCACGAGGCGGAGCAGGTCACCGCCATTTTTCGTCCCGGCGCGGGAGGCGCCGCAGACGGGGATTGGAAGAAGCTGAAGGAGGAGGCGCAGAAGCAGCGTGAGCGGCGCGAGCATGAGCGCAGGGCTGGGAAGGCTGGCGCAGGTTCAGCAGCAGCAGCCGCAGGGGTAAATGCGCAGATGACCCTCACGTCCGACAAAACGGAGCAGGCAAAGGTGGCTGCGGCTGGACGTTTTAGCAATGATGATGAGCTGGCCAATCTTACCCTTCACGATACGGATGACGAGGCTGCTGCGGAGGCCAAAGCGGCCAATGAATCTTCTGATGTGCAGCTTTGGAAATCGAAGCGCATCCTAAGGAGGTGAGTGGCTGAGTGGAGATGACTGAGAGCTGAGTTTGGCATGTACCTCTGACGCTTCTTCTTGTTTTGCTCCGTTTGACGCAGCCATCTCGATGCTGTGCGATCAATCGCATTCGACGGATCGAATCTGGCACTGGTCTCCGCTTCGGACGACAACACGCTGAAGTACTGGAGCATCGACCCGACGACGACGCAGCCGAGCTTGAAGCTTTTTGCGGACGCTGACTCGATCATCACGTATCGTGGTCACTCGGCTGCCGTGACGAGCGCGATCGTGTCGACGCAGCAGCGGCGGGCGTATAGCAGCAGTCTCGACGCGACGATCCGCGTCTGGCGTCTGCCGCGCCACGACAGCGTGCCGTACCTGCCATTCGATCCGAACACGGAAGAAGCGACGCTTGTCGGGCATACGCAGGCCATCTGGGAGCTCTGTCTGCTGCCGGACCGCTCGCAGAATGAGGTGCTGCTCGCGTCCGCCAGCGCAGACGGGACGGTCAAATTGTGGGACACACAGAATCTCTCCTCGGCGCTCAAACTCAGCTGGGACTACTTTGGCAGCGAGCCGGATACCGTGGCTGAGAAGGAGCGGCGCAAGTTCCAGGCGCAGGGCAAAGAGTTGCCCGTGCCTACGTCCATATCGCCGTGCCCAGCCAACTTACGCGTCTGCGCGGTCGCGTACAGCAACAGCGTTGTCAAGCTGTTCGATATCGAGTCCGGTCAGCAAGTGCTGCAGATGCACAGCGACGCCACGTATGGTGAGTCCCCCCTCTGTTTCGTTCGGTTGTACACTCGGATAGAGGTACTGATGCGCACATACTGTGCACTTCCTTCAGACGGCACACCTGCAACGCAGATCAACAAGGTCGTCGCGCACCCGACGTTGCCGTTGCTCATCACTGCCCACGAGGACCGATACATTCGCACATTTGACTTGGACACTGGTGAGCGGGACCGGCTATAGCTATCGAATTGAAAGAAGCGAATATTTAATGTTGAATATATGCTTACTCTTCGCACTATAGGCACGTGCACGTTGTCTATGCAAGGGCACCAGGATGCTGTCACATCACTGGACATCGACCCGGCTGGTCTGACACTCGTATCTGGTGGACATGACTGCAGCGTCCGCTTCTGGGACCTGGTCAGTGGACCAGCTGCCCAGGCTGCTGCCGAAGGAAGCAACAGCGGCTCCAAAGTCATGAACAAGGACAAGGAAGCAGCTGCCGCGGGCAACAATGATGCCACTGCTACTGGAGCCAATGGCAACGTTGGCGGCGCGGCGGTATGCGTGCAGGAGATCTCAGCGCACCGCAAAAAAGCGGGCGAAGGCGTGGTGGCTGTCAAGTACCATCCCTCGGCACCGTTCTTTGCCAGCGCTGGCGCCGATGGGATCATCCGCATTTACGGGTGATGGGGAATCGCAATGAAAGAAAACATCCAAACCGATGTAGTAATAGAGGTGCAAATGTAATTCGCTTCTTCAACGAGTCCAATCGTCCAAGTGCATGATCCGCGGCGCTGGTCGGCGCTGCAGCCTGCGGAGCACCGCACAGGATGGGAGCAGCGTTACGGCGTAGTCTCCCAAGCCATCGATGAGCGCCTACTGGTACGTTTGCCTCACAGGGCGACACCTAACAGCATTTAGCTGGGCAATGAGCAATGAGGCTCGCCTGCGGTTCAGCGCTTAACTCTTCCAAATGCATGGTCGTGCTCAACTGTGGGTCATACCACAAGTGAGTCTACTTTATGACACGTCAGCTCGACTTGCAGCAGCGGCATACAGCTATCGAGCCCATGGTTCGTTTCGAAATAGAGCTTGGGAAGTTGAAAGTCCAGCATGACGTACACCGGCTGATGACTACATTCCGCGGCTGTCTGCTGCTGCCGCCCCGACAAGCTGGGTAGGCAGCAATCGCGTGGGCTGCAGCTTCTTGTGCACGAACATTGGTGATGGCACAGCGGGCGTTGCAGCTGCTACGCTCTCTGGTGAATTGCATGAGGCCCGGTCTGACTGTTGATAACATCACTTAGTTTGAGCAACTCGGTGAAGTCGGGACAAAGTGGTATTTTGGCGTGGAACTCTCCTCACGTGCCTTCAACTGCTTAGCCAGATACCCTTGGAGTATGAGATATTCCTCACTGGGATTTCCCATCTCCGGAACCTCTTGCACAGCCCTAAGCTGGGAGTAGTCAAACAGCGCAATTGCAAGATCGCTGAGATGAAAGTTTTCTGCGCTTGATTTGCCTCCAATAGAATTATATCTGGACAACGCATCAGCGACTGGATTGGATTTTCCTGGAAAGTAAAGGATCAGTGGGCCGTACACTTCCACGGCTTCGACGAATTGGCGAGGTCTGTAATTGACATCGTTTGTTCGCAGATAGCAAAGAGGTTCGTGGTTGGCGTGAACGACGATCCGAGCCTCCCCTATCAAACCCCCAAATCTGTGGCGAGCGTTGGTAATGCCCAAAGCTTCTCTTTACTGAACGGAGTCGTTGCATTTAGCACTCGTGAGTTTCTGCTTTCGAAAGCGATCCGGCACAGGTCGCGGACGTGCCCATGGTGCGTCTCTGTTCTGGCAGGCTCCCCGCCCTCCCCATCCAACTTCTACCCGACGGCGCCGACGAACTCGTCGTTTGCATCCGTGTCAATGTAGAAAGTCTGTCGACGTCAGGATGCTTGTGATTTTGCTAAGCGGAGAGCATCGCCTTCAGGTAACCAAAAGCAGCTCGCATGTCGTTAGTAATCACCAGAGGCCTGGGGTCATCACACTTGGAGGAACGAACACCCGTGCGCAGCGCATTGGTGAGGGGCGCAGCGATTTTGACATATTTCGCCAAGAACTTTCTATAATATCCTGATGCACCCAAGAAAGAGCGCAATTGCTTGATCGTCGCCAGCATCGCCCAGTTAAGTTAGCGATTGTCTCGCCTTTGGCGGAATCTGTTTTGATGCTCTCAGGTTTCAGGATCATCCCATGGAAGCGAAGTTGTTGGCGTATAACTTTGACCATTCTTCGGGAGACTTTCAGCCCGTGCTTTTGGAGAGCGGCCACAATAGCCGAGACGTGCTCGGGTTCCTCACCCGCCTTCGAAAACACCACAATGCTATCGAGATACACCAGGGAAGTGGCGTTGACCATTGCTCCCAAGATGCTATTCACCATCCGCTGGAAGGTGGGCGGCGAGTTGATCTACCCCATGGGTATCACAGCGCATTGCTACAAGCCATAGCGGATGATGAAAGAAGTCTTAGCCCTGCATTCTGCTCGCAGCCGCACCTGCCAAAAGCCATTGGTGATGTACAACGTCGTAAAGAACCTCGCACCATGCAGCATGGCGTAGCAATCATCGATTTGTACCGTAGGGTACGAGTCTTTGACTGTTACGCCACTGAATCGACGATGGTCAATACATATATCGAGCCTCTGCGTGTCAGGCTTGGGCACGAGCAGCAGCGGACCGGCCCACGTCGAAGGACCAGCTGGTACGATCCATCCTTTTTGTGTATACCCATCGATGAATTGTCGAATGGATTCATGCTCCCGTGGCGATCTTGGACGTCACGCTGGCGAAGGTTTTGCTTACTGATGTCCTCAATGGAGTGATCCCAGGTTCGGGTCGGAGGGGTAACCGGCTCGGCAAAGCTACAGAGAAACTGGCGGTGAAAGTAAGAGCGCTGTCTTGCGTCATCATCGACGGCACTGACGAAGACAGCGGCGGTGGCGGTGGCGTGGAGGGCTGGCTTGATGAGCTCGAGGTGCAGTTTCCTCTGCTCCCAATCATGCTGCATGCGATAGGTAGTCATCCAAGGGAAGCCAAGGATCACGCCAGCGTTCTGGTTGATGAGACCCAGGCTCACTTCGAAATCTGTACGCTCCTGGAAATATCCTACGCTCACTTGCACGCTAACTTGTCCGACCGATCCTGACGTCACCTCATTTAGTGGCTGTCGAATGCGCTTGTGGCGAGCATGTGCGTTCAAGCCTATCGTAGCGGCATCACGCGCGGGCATGAAGTGGGCGTCAGCTCCCGAGCCTAAAAATGTCCAGACGGTAAGAACGTCAAGAATAGCTTGCGGCACCGGCCAGTCCGTGGCAATGTCCACTGATGTAATGCTAGCGAAGCTGAGTGTTGCCCGAGGTATTTGTGGGTGCCTACCATATCCTCCCCCTTGACGCTGAGAGCGCACAGTTCACGATGTCGGTTCTTGTTTCCTTGCCAGGCATCCTTGCAGCTCGGGTCAACAGGCTTATACCCCTCCTCGTTGCCGTCTCAGCAGCGCACAGTACACCGGAGGGGAGGGCGGGCTGCTCTGCGCGGTGGTATCTGTGAGAGCGCTTTCATGACCACCATACACCGCCAGACGAAGGAGAGGGTGTTTGCTTGGCTTAGGTGGTCGGCGTCGTGTATGGCAGGATGGGAAGAGACTTGGGGAGCTTCTGGGAGGTGTGCTAGCAGGTCGCTGATCAGATCTGCCTCTGATCGCTCATACCGCGGCATTCGGCGCACCAGCTCCTCCACAAAGTCCAAGTGCTGAACGTAATCGCCGCTGAACGTAATCGCCGCTGAACGTAATCGCCGCTGAAGCGTAAGTCTCGGAGTCGCCGAATGACTCGAGCAGCACTCTGGGAATGTGTGCCCTGACGGCGGAGTTCGCTTTTGAAGGCGTCCCCGGGCAAGGTCAACTGCCCGGACGAGCGGCTGAAGTGACCAGTTCCAGCTACATAGTGCATCCCTGAAATTGTCGGCCACCGCAGCGGTTTGCTCGTCCGGGGTGGCTCAGGCTCATGAGCACGAACTTGGGGCCTCATGTGAGACCAACCACGCTTCTGGATCCTCTTGTATCTTGAGGTGGAAAGTGGCGAACTGCACCTTCGGCAGCCCGAACCGCAGCTGGCGAGCGTTGTCCTGGCTGACTTCTCCCTGCAACGGGACGGACTTGGGCTCTTGTTCTGAGACAGTTGGCATCTTTCTCAGTACCGTCTTCTTCAGTTCTGCGAGCTCCAATCGCAGCTCATGGACCTCGAGCTCGAGATCCTTGACAGTTGCCTTCGACACTGTGCATCGCAGTCCTTTAGATGTCCTCTGTTGTTGAAATTGTACCAAGACTGTCGTCTCCCAGCCGGTCTTGACTCGTTTTCCCTCGCGATCGGAGAGTGATTTCTTTTTCCTCCTGGCCAGCAGGAGTTGACTTGCTCGAGAGGTGAAGCGGCCTTCGGTCTTGAGCGAGAAGCGTGCCAGACGCTGATCGACGTGTCGAGTAAGTGAATGGTGTGCGATGGTAGTCGCTGACAGCAACTGCAGTTGTAGCGTGTCCCGGGTCTCGCGAATGGCCTCCAGAAGTAATCTGCCAAACGAACGTGCGTGGTGAGAATGTGTATCTAAGCAAACTTGCCCCCCTTCTATTATGTGGAGTAATTACATGTAATGCTATTCCTCTTTGTTCCAATTCCATTCCCTTGCTTGGATCGGGTAGGCACCGCCTTCACACACTGCGCCGGACTGCAGCGGATCAGGGCCAAGAGGCCAAGGTCGTCCTTCAGTCTACGCGATAAGCTGCTACCCCAGAAAGAAAGGTGGATGTTTCAGAGACCTCACCGGTCAAGGCTGCGAGCAAGAAGGGAGAGGGGAGATAAGGAGCGAGAGGGAGAGTGACGACGATTGGCAGAGTTGGTTCATTCATTACACTCGGCTAGAAGCATGTCTGGCGCGGCGGAACCTGCATGGTTGCAGGTCACCCAACGAGAACCCTGCGGCTATCTGCGGACTGCGTGTGGCCCACGTCAACATGCGGCCGCAGCATGCAACCCTGAATGGACAGAGGAAAAAAAGAAGGCGCGCGCCAACGATTCAATTGTTTATCATTGCCAATTTTGCATCCCAGCCTGCCCACCCGCTCCTCTCTCTCCCAACTAACTCCATCTCGTCTGGATATACCCTCCGGCGACCTCGCTCGCTCCCATATTGTAATCGTCAAACAACAGCGTGATACACAGGGTTGCACACATCCTCGACGCAGCTTTGAGTAATATCCTTTAAAACAACAGGGGGCGCCGGCAGACAGCAACGCGCTCCGCCCCCATCTCTCGCTGCCACCTACTACAAGCCTGGCTAGGCAAGCATTGCATATAGCATAGCTATACGCAGCTTGATCTCTCCTTAGGGTCAAGCTAGCAGCACCCACCACACGCCTTCGTCGCATCCACTGCCCCAACAGCAGCGGCACCTCTCCAGCGGACCTCAAAGCCTCCAACAGGCTCGGCCCCTCAAGCTCAGTCCAACCTGTGCTATTTCCTATTCCCTCCTCTCGCTGGCATTGCCATCTCCGAAGGCTGTCAACAGGCCCCCTTTTTGCCAATTTCAACAATACTGTAGCTGCGCTCCTTTTCTTCCCGGCTCTCCGACATTGCCAAGCGCATTTCAAGCTCGCAAGCATTCACACCGCATCGCAGTTGCATCAGTGTATCCCTAGTATACTTGAGGTCATTGCCTTTCCCCTTCTCCGGTACCTTCCACACTACCCATCAACCGATACACCCCCATCATCTATCAGTTTTCTCTTTTCAAGCTTCTTGCATTTTTCTTACTTCTCTCTACCGATCCTCAACAATCACCAACCATGGCGCCACCCATGATCCACGAAAACGCACTCGACTGCATTGGCGAGACGCCGCTGATCCGGCTGAACCGCATCCCACAATTGCGTGGGATCAAGTGCAACGTGTACGCCAAGTGCGAGTTCTTTAATGCCGGCGGTAGCATCAAGGACCGCGTAGCCACGGCCATGATCGACACCGCCGAGCGCGACGGCCGCCTGATCCCTGGAAAGAGTGTGATCATCGAGCCGACGTCCGGCAACACGGGCGTCGGGCTGGCGCTCGCAGCGGCGGTGAAAGGCTACAAGTGCATTATCGTTCTTCCGATGAAGATGTCGACGGAGAAGGTCAACACGATGCGCGCGCTCGGCGCGCACGTCATCCGCACCCCGACGGAGGCGGCGCACGACGATCCGCGCTCCAACCTCCAGGTCGCCAGGCGCCTGGCAAAGGAGACGCCCCACGCTGTCCTGCTCGACCAGTTTAGCAACCCGGCCAACCCGGCGACGCACCGCCTCACCGCCGAGGAGATCATCCGCGCTCTCGCGAACGGCTCCGTCAAGAGCCGTAGTCAACTGCAGCAGCAGCCCTCTATGGTCAGCAAGCCGGTATCCAACGTGAAGAACCTCACCGCCGAGCAGCTGCTGCCCAACGCGGCGCAGCGCCCTCTGACACCTGAGCTCAGCAGCCCCGAGGGCTCGCCACCCTCCGTGCACCGCCAAGTCGCGCTCGGGTCTGACCACCCAAGCGGGAGCAGCAGCAGCAACGTCCTTGTCGACGCACTCTTCGCCGGTGTCGGCACGGGCGGCACCGTCTCGGGCATCGCGTCGCGTCTGAAGGAGGCGGACCACAACCCCAACTGCTACGTCGTTGCTCTCGACCCCGTCGGCAGCATGCTCGCCGAGCCGGCGGAGCTGAATGTTCTTCCCAAGGGCTCGACGGGTGCTTACAAGGTGCGTGTGCAGCGTTTGAGCACTGCGGGGCTTGCACTTTTTGACTGATAACGAAACTTTCCTGCGCCGGCGCGTGCAGGTTGAAGGTGTCGGCTACGACTTTGACCCGCAGACGCTGAACAAGCGTGTGGTCGATCAGTGGCTCAAGACGAATGATGACGAGTCATTCGCGATGACCCGCGAGCTGATCCGCACCGAGGGCTTGCTCATCGGCGGCAGCTCCGGCGCAGTGGTCAGTGGAGCGATGCGTTGGCTGCTCAACGAAGGCTGGGAGAGCATCGGTAGTCAGGAAGGCAAGAACGTTGTCGTTGTGCTGGCGGACGGGATCCGAAACTATGGTGAGTGCATACGTGACAGCGGCGGCTGCAATCGATGATGGACCAAGAGAGCAGCGCCTGATGAATGCCGTTTTTTGCTTTTGCTTTTGCAGTCTCCAAAGAGTGGCTCGTTCAAGACTCCGAAGACGTCGTCCTGCCTGAGGCATGAGCCGCTTCGGAATTCCCGATGGCTTCCACCTCTACCACGCGCCTGCGTTGCCAATCATCATCATCACGCCGTCTGCACCCTTCCTCTCAACGCTGGAGGCGCAAGCACGGCAACCAACCGCAAGAAAGGAAAAAAAAGGAAAAAAAAGGAAAAAAAAACAGAATTCGAAAACATCAAACCGATAGTTTAGTCGGTGTATGTGACGCTGTTTACGGTTGACCATACCCGCCCTGGAAAGAATGTACGCGTAGGGGAAAAGGCACCCTCAACCTCAACGTTGTAGCCTTAGCATTTGAAACATATTTTTCTTTTCTCATCAGCTTGTCTGACCAGCCCTCTGCGAACTGGTCGTTGCTCCGAGAAACCTTCATATGGCAGGTGGCGCAGCGGTAATTCGGCAACGCCCCAACAAGGCGAGTTGACAAATCGACACCTCAAAGTTTCGTATTTTTGTTAGCCTGATTGTAGTGAGGTAATGGGCTGGAGGTCTACAACTAGAGGGCCCAGAGGTGATGCGAGCGGGTTAAGTGATCCGGGTGTGGAATCTGGGTTACCTAGCAACGTCGCGATAATTTGGGCCAATCTCCAACTCATGCGTACGCGGTTGCAACATGACATCACAGCCTGGTCAAATATCATGATGGGTGTCGGCGTATCCCCACATGGTGAGAAGAAATCGCCTCAGCTTTCCAGAAGAAGGATCAACCGGTCCGGCAGGGGGAGCCCTTTGCCTGCGTATTACCGTTCCCAAATGTCGATATAATGGCTGCGAGCGCCACGAAGGCCAATGCTGTCACGCAGGAGAAATATCCCAGGTTGGGTATGCGCTGAAAAATTGGCTCCACAGCTTTAAGATATTCGACGAGGTCCTTGAACATGGGATCTTCCCCTTTGCCGTCAGATCCATGTGACCGCCTCGGTGTGGCGTACATCGTCGATGTAAAACGACCATTCGTCGTCGCTGAACTCGTCAGCCATAGCAGCCTCTCCTGGTGGCAATAGTTTCGGCTTCGTGTCCTCCTTGCTCCGCGGTCTTTGATCCGCAAAGAACTACGTGGGGCATCCAGCTTTTTCAACGAGGGCACTCCAACTGAAGAACTTTCCATACACAGAGGTTGAGTTATCACCTACAATCCAAGACGTGGCCGAACCGTTGATCCGGATATTGAAAGATGGACTGACGGCGTTGATGGTTGGTTACCCTAACCCTAACCCTAACCCTAACCCGTGCAGCTTGTCCGAATCTCCTTGGCGAGAAGAGCCCCTCCCGTGCGAGGACGAAGATATTCCTTGTTAGCCATGGGCATTTATTGGGCTCAAAGACCAGATCAGAAGGGGATATGGCATGGTATCTCTGTTCTCTCGCGCGCACGGCTGAGTCCGCGATCATTACCCTGCGCCTTGCCCTCACCTTCTTGGCGATGCGGCGGCAGCTGTGCTAATGCGGACGGGAGATTTATATTCCCCTCGAAGGACGAGTGCACACTGTTCCAACGTTTCGTGCCTTTTCATTTCTATACACTTGTTTTCATTCTTCTTCGAAGCCGTCGCATTCGTCCACTGCAATCACTTCCTCGTCTGTATGCGGCTTGCAAATGTGAAGCCTTTGAGCAAGCAACCCCGCATCCAGCAGCCGCTCCCCAGAACGCGGGTCGCTCAAGAGCCTCCGTTGACGCGATCGCGCACTTTGGTCTAAGAGAGATGCAGAATATCGGAATGTCAGAAAATGAGAGCTGCTAGATTCTATTTCATTTTCCCGGTGGAAATCACTCACCAAGAATTGCATGTAGCTCATGCCTGAAGCGCCTGCGTCCCGATCTTCGATGAGCATGCTCAGCGCCCACATGCGCACGCTCGGCTCTCCGTCCTCCTTTGCAATGTACAGATGCGGGCGGTACGGACCCCTCCTTAAGTCCCTGATCCTATCGACGATGCCGCGCACTCGCTTGTTCATCGAGTTGTCGAGCTCCGGCAGCGTGGCCTGCAAAGACGCAGAAAATTGAAAACTCAGTCAGCACATGCCAGACTGCACAATTTGGAAAGTTCAAAGGCCGGTGTACCATCTCTCACCTTTCCTCCTTTCACTTCGGTATAGTTGGGTGCATCGAAGACGTCCATACACAGCTGTGGCACGGCGTCGCGGCCGATCCATAGGAAGATTGTCTGACCGTCTTCGATGAGGTATAGACCATGCCTCTCCAGCTTCTCGCTTGTGAGGTTGAGTTTGGCCGGGAAGATGAACTGCCTGGTTGATCCTGGAAGCATGACCTCGCCATCCGCCTTGCCATCGGCAGGGACTGCAGGGGCCGGCGCGGGCGTCTCGACCCAGGTGCCTACCTCTGGGGGCATGTTGTGTAGGCAGTAAAAGTTAGGGTGTAAGTAAGGCACGAGCAGCTGCGTCGGCAGCGTGGTGAGGAGAGCTTGAGCATAGGCACGCAGATCGGGAGGGATCTGGCTCGACTGCCGCAGACCGACGTGCTTGAGAAGAGCAAGAAGCATTAGCGGAAGCAGCGCCATGTTCTGCGCGATGCTGAGTTGCGCACTAGCTCCCGAGCCAGCGCTGGTCATTGTGGATTTGTACGTGGTGAAGATGTCGACCAGCTTGTTCATGATGGCGTCCCGCGCATCCTCCAGCTTGTGATGGATGCTTCGCTCGACGGCCTTGTTGGCCAAAAGCATGGCAATCGCCTGCTGATCCGCTGACGCGTATACCTCGGACATATTCGTTGTCGTCGGTACGGCCAAGTTGACGACACGGATTCTCCTCTCGCCGAACGAGGTGCTGTGAAGGATGACAGCTTGGAAGACGACAAAGGGAGCAGTGATCGACTCCTCAATCTCGCACTCGATGGCGTAGTTCTGATCAAGCGGGACAGCGGGCAGGGCGAGCAAGTCGGTGGAGCGAACAAAAAAGTTGCCGTGGAATTGCGTCGCACGGATACCCTTGGTCGTACGCAGACGCAGCACCGCTTCGTAGCAGATCGGTGACGCGAGCACCTCGCCAAACTCATGCGAGAACTTGAGCGCATCCTCCGAACGGCCCGCGTGGAAGCCGGGATAAAAGTACGTCTGACCACCCGTATACCGCGGCAGGCACGAGAGCGTTGCGACATCCTGGTATGCAGAGCCGAACAGCCACATGTCGACGGAGACCTGTGTTCGCGAGCAGTCGATCGGGAACGTCTTATAGAACGACGATGCAGCACTGAGCAGCGTGCTCTCCTTTGCCGTGCCAAGCAGCTTGGGGTCATCGCGAGCCTTGAGCGCTCCAGGGCCGAGCGTCGGTAAGGAAGCCGTCAGGCACATGATCTTGCCGCCCATGGGAGAGATGAGCTTGTACGCTGCCTGCAGAGCAGCGCCCATGGCCGAGCCGACGATGAGGGAGCCAGCGAACATGTCGCCGATGCGCCCAAGCAGCTGCTCGATTCCAGCTCGACTGTCGCGTAAGTTAAGCAGCAGGTCGTTCGGCTTGGGCAGGAAGGCATCGTCGATGTCACCGACGACAAGCATCTCAGCCTCCGAGTGGCCCTCCTGTGAAAGTAAGCGGAGGTTAGCAATTTCGTCAGCTTGCCGCACACTTTGGAGATTGCCAGCGTCGGCGGAGCACAAGGCTCACCGGAAGGCAGAAAAAGTGCAGAGCCGTGTCGACGGCAATAATGCACACCCTCGTGCGTCCGTCGTCGTTGGGAAGGCGATCGAGCGACTCGAGAATGGTCCTCGCAGCAGTGGCTGCCATGCCGCTATTCATCGAGTTGTAGCTGACATCAATCAGGAAGACGTACACCGGCGGCTGGGGCGGGCGGACCATGTACTCCCTCGGCGCGATGAACTCGACGACCGAGTGGTTCAGCTCCGGTCTCTTCCACCGGTCCGCAGGCTGGTTGTTCTCCTGGTCCCAATCGAACAGCTGTGGGACCTCGTTGGAGATGTTGCACATGCAACACTTCCACCTGTTGCCGCCCTCGATGAACTGGACATATGGGTTGATATACGTCCTGCAGCGCCGGCAGCGCGCGATAACCGTGTCGGTAACGACAGGAACAGGCTCGTCACCATCCTGCTCGCGCACAGACCGGTACGGGGTGAGGATCAGGCCGAACGGTAGACGCGTCTTTTGGAGCAGAGCGGATGTGGTGGGGACAGCATTGAGCGTGCAGCGCTGGTACGAAGGATCCGCATTGGCTCGCGGGTTCTGCGTGATGCATGCATTGGGCGGCAGGCGGATCTCAGGCGGCGGCCGTTCCAGGTCGTTGACGTCGGGCTGTATGCCGGCCACGTTGATTGTGAGCAACTGGTTACCTTTGAGACCGTACCCACCAGCACCGCCGCCACCCATGCCCATGCCCATGGAAGCAAATTGGTTCTGCAGGCCAGCCATCTGGTTGGGTCCCGCGACACCAGCAGGAGCGGCACCGTAGCCGCCATAGACGCCCCCTGCGGCCGCGGTGCCGTTGGGCGCTGGCGGCTGCATCTGGCCGTAGGGGCTACCTCGCTGGGGGGGTCGCGGTTGCTGCTGTTGCTGTTGAACCGCGAGTGGCTCCTGGCTCTCGGGGATCCCAGGTGTGAAGAGCTGGGGCCCCTGGTCTGGTCCTCCCGTTCCAGCTGCTGCATTATAGCCTGGCTGCGCTCCATAGCCACCACCGAGTCCCTGCGCACCAGGGTCGAACCCTGAGCTGTAGCTCACACTGTTCGCCGCAAGGTGCGCAGTTGGATATGCCCTCCTTCGGGAGCCCGGTCCAATCGTCGCAGGCGGTGAACTAGGCCCCACGCTGGGTGTCGGGCTGAGAGGCGCGCCGGGCCCGATGGGTGGTGGGGTATTTGTAGCACCTGGCATGCCACGCAAGCTCGGAGGTCCTTGCATTGGCGGCATCGACATGCGAGCAGCGCCTTGTGGGTGGGTAGGTCGGAAGCCGGACGCTGCTGGCGGTGGGCCGCCAGCGGGTGGGGGTCCGGTGCTCGGCAGCTGCCATTGCGAACGCCCCGTCGCCGTTTCTGGAGAATGTAGAAGAAAGACCTGTCAATATCAGAAAGTAACGCCATGTGGGATGAGCTGCCGAACACACCAATGTATACGTATCGCGAGGCTGTCGGGTCCCTGGGAGATGTGAGGCATATGGAAGGAATTGAAGGTGGAGGCGTCAGCCATGAGGAGACCGGACGAGGACGTGGAACCGTCCTCATTCCTATACTCACCATTGCGCTTGCCAGCCTGGCGGCAGAGATGGGGCTTGCTGCGACATCATGTACAGTAGCTATGTGCGCCAGATGACGAGCGAGCAGTTGCTGTTTGACGTACTCGGCCCGGAGAGCGAGGATGGTGGCGGTGCGGTGCGTTGCGTTGCGGTGCGTTGCGTTGCGTTGCACACTGAAGGGTGCCTCTTGCACCTGGGAAGACCGCTCCGCTATGGTGTTTCAGACGCAGGGGATGTGCTTTCCCAAATTTTCGCGGCTGATCGACCGACACAAGAAGCCGTCGTCCCGAGAAGACGACAGTGCGCTGCTTGACAAGGTGCTGAGCCGAGTCCGAATAACTCTTGACTGTGGCAGCAGAGGATGCTGGAAGACTTGAGAGCGGACATCGAATGGACGGGCGAGACTCAGCTCACAATAACGCCAGCGCCACGCGCGCACGGCCACCCACCGCACGCAGGCCATAGAGCCCTCTCAACCGCTGCTCTCGCACAGCGCCACAAGCGCACACTCTGAATCTCAATTCACATCTAAGTTCTAGCACATGTGCTCCAACCGAAACATTCGATGAATGTCTGGCTGAGCTAGAGCGAGCCTCCCAGCTTTTCGCCAAAGGATGGTAGCGAATGTCCGTGCAGACGTGCTCAGTGGCTCTGGCTCATAGCAGCATTCAAGACACCTGGGATATCAGTTGATTTCGCCGCGGAGGCAACCAAGATCGAGTGCATCAAGGCTTGCAGCAGAGCTCGCCCAGCTTTTCCTCCTTCTCGTGCTCCCATCAAGGATCGGTGATTGGCCAACGGATTCGACTAGGCAGAGTAGGGAAATGTACATCGCATTCTACGTACAGGGACACAAATAGACAACACTTGATTGTCAAGGGTTCAAGCGTAAGGACCGCTTATGCCGCGCGAAGTGTACAGGTTGAGCGACGCATACGTTGAGCTATAAAATCGAGCGCCACGATGTTCTTCACTTTTGTGATGCCGCCCGCGCGACCCTAATCCCGTTCAGGTGCGCCGATCGTGTACCTTCAATGTCTTGCGAGGAGGACCGTCGCTATCAGCGCTGACGACGGCCTCTGTGGCTACTGGCACGCCGGTCGTCTCCAGCACTGCTTCCTCTTTTTCGTCCATCACGCTCCCCATCAGCTTGCGAGTTCTCGTCGGCACCGATGTTGGCGCTTTCGTGTCGTCCGCTAGGGCGGCGCTTTCGGCTGCAGGTGCGGTCGAGCTTGTGACATTTGTGGATGCCGAAGACGCGGTTGGTGCGTCGCCATGAGCTTCTTGCTCTGGTACCGGGAGAATATTTCACGTTAGCACCCAGCTTTGCAAAGGTACATGTCCTGCACCGCCAAGAAAGACTCGCCTTCTTCGCAGTGTTCTACGTCGTAATTATCGTGCACTGGCAAATGGCGAGGATAGTCGGAGCGGGCGACGTTTGCGTGCGGCGGAGAGTGGGCAGTGCTCGACTCCGCGACGCTCTGCGTGTTGCCGACGCTACCATCGTCGATGACATAGACGAATCCTTCGCCTTCATTGCCGCCACCTTTCGTCACAGCTGTATTCTGCTCATCCTGATGGGTATCCGATGCACTGCGCGCGCGCGCATTGCGTGCTCTCAGCAGCTCTCGACCGAGCCAATCGAGTGCGTGCTCTTCGTAGCGATCGCGCACGTGAGCCGGCTCGGGCTCATGCGCAAAGCACGCCGGCCGAAGATGGCGATGGTGATGATGCTGGTAGGGAGCGCGCGGTTCCCAGTAGTGCTCGGCTGGTCTTTCGAGATGGGTCAAGGAGCGAGTCTGATTGGAATGTTGCGCGTCAGAAAAAGTTGCTTGGTCATTGTCGTATGCACCGATGATGAGGACCTGATTATTGAGCGAAGGAGGAGCGTACGAAGTCGATTGCTCCTTCCTCAGGTACCAGTAAAAAGGATCATGAAAGACCGGTGCCGTTTCAAAGCCAGCAACAGCGAGCGTTCTACGACCGAGGGCATCGAGCAATAATTCATTCTCGAGCATCTCCTGTAGCAGCGGCAGTTCTGCTATCGCCTGGCGCTGAGCTTTCACTTTCGCTTTCGCTTGCGTCTGCTCCTGTACCTGCTGGGCCTTGGCGATTTCTTGCTCGAAAGCCTCAATCTCCAGTCGCTCCAACTGGCTGTCAAGGATGTACAGCAGCGAACGGGGATCCTCAGGCGGCATGTCAATCGCCGTCGGCAGCAGAAGAGCTGTATCAAGACGGTTCAAGTCAGCTTCAATCAAAGTTCTCCCAAGGCGATGCCGCCTGTGATATCACTGTGCCGGCTCACGAGCCGAATTGGGCAAGGGCCCAGCGTGCTCCTCGATAATGATCTCGAAAGACATCACCCAGGGTTGACTGTTTGCCTCTGAACACGTTGCCGTCACATGCCTTTCTTCGTTTCCTAGCAGTGCTCGTGATCACGCCTCCTCATCAAATGAGTCATGCTCTGGACAAGTAAAAGCTTGCAATGATCAGTACGAGTGGATTGCCATCGTTGTCGAGGATTTGAGGATGTCATCGACTTTCATCACCTGGTGGTCTACCGTGAACTCCTTGGCGGCCCGCGTCTCACTTTTTCTATCGTGTGATATGGCCACTGGCACACTGCTCAAGTGAGAATGGAGTTTTATAGGGTTATACGCATCCACTGAACCCTCAAATCTCCATGGACATTCAAAAAATTGCGAAGACGATGTTGAAGTTGGTTGTCCAAGCGGCAAGCCGTCCTTGCCACCCCGAACACATGTAGAGAGTGAACAAGGTCAGCCCAGCCTACTTCGCATCTTGAAAGCTTCATGCGGCCGCCACCGCCGGTGCACCTCAAGACGTCTTCTCGGTAACTCAACGAGAAGCGCTTCCGGCCAGGGCTTGCGGCGGCCCCGAACGCGTCTCCAAGTATACGACGCGTCGCGGGCCTGCGACACACGTTCCTGTGTCTCTGCCGCAGATGCTAGGGTCCCTGAAATCTCAAGACAACTGGTTGCGCTCGTAAGCTCGAGCTCACAATGGCGCGCCCCTCAGGTCCGGACGTGGAATCACGCCACCTGCTCGAGTTTGCGGTCAAGGCTGCAGAGACATTCGTCAGCGCCTACTATCAAGCCGCCGACAGTCCGCAACGGCTGCAGGTGTGTCTTCCGTGCAACGATGTATCTGCGAAGGAGCATGGCATGAATTGCTAACAATCAGTGGCTTTGAATTATTTTCAAGCAGATCCTGCCGACACTCTATCTTGCCGACAGCTCGATTGTCTGGAACGGCAATCCGATCAGTGGCAACCAAGAATTTGCGGCCTTGTTACAGCAGATGCCAAGCACAAAGCACGATGTCCAATCCTTTGACTGCCACCCTCTAGGTGGAGGCCAACAAGCGCGTGAGTCTCTACAAATTCCATACTCCGCGGTAAAGGGGCCTTGCAAACACAACTTCGAATGCGAAGAAGAGGAGAGGACCGCCCTTACGGTCCACTCTGTCCGAGTGCTGCATGCGATTCTTTTCGGTTGCGCCTCACACACGGACAGGTGGACTGGTCAGATTGCTTGAAGTAGCAAAGGCACACGGCTCTACTCGGAGTCAAATGGGCAAAAGCAAAACGCAATGAAGAGCCAGCGACTCGTCGCACGGCCTTCAAGAAGCTCCTGCAAAGGGTTCGGGGCACGTAAGGTCCAAGCTGCCCCCTGAGTAGTATATGGAGCAGACATTCATCGCAAGGGCCAGACGACTGACCATGTATGGCCGTTGGTGCCATCTTAACATTCTTCTTTTCACCGGACAGCAAATATGTGGCAGGTACCATCCTTGATGCTTACCGTAAGCGGCGTTGTCACACACCACACACCGGACTCTATCTCTGCACAGCCGGTCTCTAACGCGCCGAAAGCTGCGACGTCCACGGGCAAGGGCAAGGGCAAAGCACGAGGCGGCGGCAGCGCTCCGCAAAATTGGGTTGATGCGCCGATCGACAGCTTGCCGCGTGCTTTCAGTCAGAGTTTCGTCCTGGTCAACCTGCCGCAGGAGGATGGTGGCGTGAATTGTTCGGGAGGCGACAACAAAGGGGGAATGCAGCCTCTAGTGGGAAAATTCTTTGTACAAGCGGACAACGTGCGATTCGTAGGGTGAAAAAAGATGACACTACGAAACTAGTTCGCAGCCTGCGCTGTCGTGTCAATGTTGATGTGGTGATCCGATGCAGCAGCCTTGGCAAGGTCCCATCTCCTGTGCCTGCATTTTGGGCTCCAGCGCCACAGCTGCGATTCTTCATGACCTCGAAGTAACGAACGGTCTTAATTGTTGCATACATATCACGGGCAAAGCTCATGTGACTGGGCGAGCATGTATGTCAATGGTGCCCATGCTCATTCAGTGGTGGACAGTGGACTAGTGTAAAGTGTTGGTGGCACGGACCATCGGCCTGATTGTAGGTTGTCGCTGTTCAAGAAACATGACGTTGACGGGAAAGGGGTGGGGGCGGGGGCTCACCAGAGCCCATGCTCATCCTAACATTGCTCTCGCTCTCCTCGGATTCCGTCGAGGTTCAGCTAAGTTTTCTTGCCTCTCGATCCTTGTTCTCAGCCCCTCGGAAGAGGCCATGCTAGCACGAGGAGTCCTATTACCATCGTTTCATCTATTCCGAAAAACCACCTGCCCACGGCTATCATCCTATCGGCATCTTCCGTCCCCGCTAAGTTCCTTCGGTTACTTCCCCTCCCGAAAAGGTTCTCTCTCGCATCGCACGACCTCTTCGAAAAGCGGTTGCTCTTCTAGGCTACCACTCTCTGCGGAAACCAGCGCACAAGTAGATCAGTCACTCATGTCTCTCTTCAGCACGAACCGACTACACGACAAGGTCGTCCTGATAACAGGCGCATCAGCGGGCATTGGACGCGCGACGGCCGTTCTGTTCGCGCGCGCGGGTGCCAACGTCGTCCTGACCGCAAGAAGGACCGAAAAACTCGATGATGCAGTCAAGGAGTGCGAGGAAGCGAACAAGCAGGGCGCCAGCGGAAAGGGCGGCAAATACGTTGCTGTGGAATTGGATGTGCAGAAGAGGAGCAACCTAGATGCGCTCATCGGCCAGCTACCCGATTGGGCCAAGCAGGTGGATATCCTTGGTAGGCAGCTGGGCTGGAAAGAGCCGTTTCATTCATGTAGTTTTGTACAAGGCTGACTTTGCTGGGCCTGTTCAAACAGTCAACAATGCTGGACTGGTATTCGGCACCGAAAAAGTCGGAGAGATCAACGCCGACGAGGTCGACGTCATGATCCAAACTAATGTAACTGCACTGATCCATCTGACTCAAATTTTCGTTCGAGGTGCGACGGTCCCCGTTGAAAGTCCATCAATGATGCTCTGACTGACGCGACTGACATCTCTCCGCGTGGTTCCCGACAGAGTTCAAGAAGAGGCAAAGAGGCCATGTGATCAACCTCGGCTCCATCGCTGGCCGCGAAGCATATCCCGGTGGATCTATCGTGAGAGCCTTCTTCACTTTTGACTATCGTTCTCGCGAGCGGGGCGTCGACTGAAAATCCTCCTCTATCGGTCTGTCCCTCCGATTCTTAGTATTGCGCCACGAAGTTCGCAGTGAAGGCATTCACTTCCGCACTCATGAAGGAGCTGGTGGACACGCCGATCAGGGTGACGTGCATCGATCCGGGCATGGTGAACACTGGTAAGCTTACGCCTGGTAGGTCTCCCTCTCTTACTTTCCAGCTTGCTGACCCATCGCACGCCCTCCCCACTGCGACATGTTGTTGCGGCAAGAATTCTCGACCGTGCGCTTCCGAGGTGACAAGGCAACGGCAGATAAGGTGTACGAGGGCCTGCAGCCGCTGACGGGCCAAGACATCGCTGAGGAGATCGTCTGGGCTGCCAATAGGCCTGAACATGTCAACATTGCCGAGAGCCTGATCTTTCCTGGTGAGTCGGTCTATCCAAACGTGCGGACTACTACAAGTCATGGAACTTTAATTTCCCTGTTACACGTATGCGCTTGCTCTGCCCAGTCAACCAAGCCTCGCCGTACCACAACCACCGACCCAACCTCAAAAAGTGAGCGCTGCTTTCTTGCTGAAGCCGAGTGCGATACCTGGGATAATCTAGGGAGCGACTTTGCGATCTCCAATTACGTGGCGAGAGGATTTGTATGTAGCATGTATATCCAACAGCATCTCACAGTACAGCGAGGCAGAAAGGCCGTCTGAAAGCATGACTAGCAAGGTAAGAATAAAAGATGAAATGGTACAAACGTCGATGCCACAGATGGAATGCAAGCCCGAGGATGGATGATATTACGCTGCGCCGCGAGGAGCATGACCTAGGAGCACCGTCGCGGGCTAGATGCGGCGTTGTGCGCTGCTGGCGCATTGCTGCGCGGCATACACTGAAGATGGGGCAGGGGTAATGCTCTCCACAGCCTGATCGTCCGTGGAGAGGGGTGAAGTCTTGGTAACAGACACTAATCGATGCAGCAATTGAATGATGTGCGCGACGTGAGTGGTCGGAGTATTGTATGCGCATCGCGCAGGCCCGTCGCACATTGCACCTATTGCGAGCCGTCGGCCGATACATTTCCGCTCCATGCTTTCTTCAAGCTCAAGACAATGACCCAGGACTGCGATGGCGTCCTCACAAGAAGAGCGCTGCACCACCTGCAAGCGCGGCAGCAGCACCGACGACGACAGCATGCGAGCGCATGTCGCTGCTCGCGGCGTTCGGACTGATGATCTGCCTGTCCGGGTCGGCAGGCGCAACAATGGGGCCCGACGCGTTGGTGGGCAGGCCGGCGCTGGCCAGGCTGGCGTAGACAGAGGTCGGCTTGTACCCCTCGATCGACTCGGTCGGGATTAGGTAGCTGAATGTCGCCGCGCCGGTCGTCAGGGCTGGCCCGACGCCAGTTAGCGTTGTCGGTACGGGTGAGACGGCTTGACTGAATGTCGTCGTCGGGTTGAATGTTGCAGGCATGTTGTTCGGTGTCGTGCTGAATGCGGAGGAGGGTGCGATGGATGGGACGGATTGAGCCTGCATATGGTGGCGGCGGTTTGCAGTTGATGAAGGGCGGAGGGGGAGAGAGAAGATCCATATCAGCATCAGCAGGCGGGGCTCGTCAAGGATGTGGTAAGAGGTGAAGCGCACCAATGCAAAGGCAGCTAGAAGGACGACCGCAGCGAGGAATCGCGCAATCATTTTGAACTGTGTGCGATGGAGCTGAGGTGTCACCGGGTTGGGGGGGGGGAGAAGACAGAGGCAAGGATCGCTGACTGGCAGGCAGACAAGCAAGCAGGAATGTAGGCAAACAGAAGAGAGGAAGCTCGCGTAGAAAGATGCGGCGAGTGTATGGCAGCGCCCCCGGGTCGGTCACCGGAGGATCAAGGGGAGGGGCCGAGCGAGCTAAGACTTCGGAGGCGATGCAAGTAGGGTGAGGTAGGACTAGAGGGTGAAATGGACGATCTGGACGTGTGAAGGCGAGACTGTGGACCTCGGTTTGCACCCTCGTCTTGCCTTGTTCTGGCGGTGGCTCGGAGGCGGGGGGAGGGGGAGGGCAAGGTGTGCCTTGTACACTTTAACAGAAAAAGTGCAATGCAGCCTTGCGAGCCTGATTGACTGGGCCAAGGACGAGGAGAGGTGCTCGCCCCGCAAAAAGGTGTCACGCGGGCCCTGTGCGGTGTGGCTGGGGTGGTGCACGGCAATTGTGCGGGTGTGTGTGGGGAGAGTGAGGGACGAGGTGGGCGTCCAAGGCGAGCTGGTCGCTGGATCCTTCTCGCGCTGCGTAGGTTTACAGCGCATCGCCGAGCCCTTGGCAGTGGCAAGGGATCTGCACACGGAGCAAGGCCTCGGCGCCATAGACAGGGACAACCGTGTAAAACACGCATACTATTGGCGCGTGACGCGTTTCGTTGCCACCTCGAATCTCAAAGAGCAGATGTTGAGATCGAGGTGTTCTTTCATGGAGGAGACAGAGAGCTGCTGTACACGGATCAACAGGCAGCCCCATACCTTCGCATCTCGAGCGCCTGAAACAGCTGTGCGAATATTCGCGCTCAGCGATCGGCCCTAAATACTGGCCAACATCTGCGCAGGTCGCAGCACTCACACCCGCCACGCGACCATGGTGCGTCGTCACTGGCTGCGTACGGCAGTGCCTTCACATGCTCGCTCACTTGCCAATCCTGATTCCTTTTTTTTGCAGGATTCGACACCTCCACCCGCAACGGCTGTAAACAGCCGAGGGGCCCGCTCCTTTTTCGAGCGCGAGCGGGAGCGCCTCGTCACAGAGATCTCCGATGTGCGTTGTCCTGTACCATACTTTCCTCCTGACTCACTCACTTTATGTTTCCGACGTCGAGCGCAGTCCTGCTGAATCGACGTATTTTATTGGCTTCCTGATACCTTTTGGGGCCTCCCCACCTTATAGGGCATCGAAGTCATCATGTCCAACTCCAACACACTCAACCGCAAGCTCGAAGAATCCATCTCCGTCGGCAAAGAATTCGAACCGATCGCAGATTTGTGGGGGCAGTTCAGCAACGTCATGACACGCGCGGGCATACCCGACTTGGTCGCCGAAACAGCCGCAGCAGCGGCCGCGACCGCCGCGTCACCTTCATTCACATCAGGGGTAGCAGAATCGGGGGCAGCCGCGGGTGCTTCATCAGGAGACGCCACACACCCAGATACGGCCTCGGACCAATTCAGACGGTCGGCCGGAGCTCCTGGAGCCGATGCGGACGCAGCAGAGGGAAACGAGGACGGCAGGCGAAGTAGGCAGGGACACGGTGCTTTCGGAGAGGAGGACACGCTGAAGCGCAGTCTAGGCGGCACCGGCGACCTGCTTGGCATGGACGACTTGCCGCCGGGTGTCATACCTGGCGGTGGCATCGTCTATGGGAGAGATGCTTGACGGCCGATTTTCTCACTGGTGCTCCGTAGCCACGACAGGGTGCATCTTATTGTATACTATTGTATTTCCCCTGGTCCTCAGCAGACACACATCGTCTCCTAGACTGCCTAGCCCCTCTGCACGGCGCCGAGCGTCATGAGCGCAACGCCCCTCTTCTTCTTCCTGCCTCCTCCACCACCGCCGGCGCCTCCAGTGTCGTGCGCGTCTCCTGTTTCGGCGTCCAAGATGGCGCCCTCTTCCTCTGCCCCCACGACAAAGGTTGAGCCGTCAATCCTGCTGACGAGGCTCGCCAATCCGAGGCCTGCGCCTGCTGTGCCACTGCCGGATCCACCCCACGTGGGCGTCGAAGCGCCGCTTCCGCCGTTCGAGCTGCCATATCCGCTGCCGCTTCCGCCAGCGCCGGGGCTGCCACCGCCAGGGGCGCTCAGCGTCCGATTCATGCCCTTCGACTTCGCCAGGGCCTGCCGCTTCTTCTCCGCTAATGCTGTCGCGCTCGAGCTTGGCGCGGGTAGACCAGGGAAATGTTGCTTGGTCATGCTGACACCGCTGCTGTTCACATTCCCGCAACTTCCTACCGTGCTCTTTGACGCGTACGAAGAAGGCATGACTTGACTTCGAGGAGTTACGGTGCTACTCGAAGCCGACGGGGCTTGGTGCAGTGCGGAGGAGGTGGACCACGGTGTGCTGCCGCGCGTGCTGCGAACAGCCGAGCTTCCGCTAGCTTTGAGTGCCGCTGCTGAATGCGAGCCGGAGCCGGGAACGACTTTGCCATTGGGTCCGGTCGCGCGTAGCAGTGCTGGGAATTGGCTGCTTCTCCCCCCAGCCGCAGATGTACCTGCACCAGCACCGCGTCCAGCTTGTGCACCCAGAGCAGCGGCTCTTTCGACGTTCGCCCACACCCGGCTGCTGGAGGAGGCCGAGCTCTTGATATTTCGAAGCTGGATGTGTCCTTGCGCGGCGTTGGAATACCTAAAACCGGACGAACTCGCTGCGCCGATGCCGTTCGGCACCAGCGAAGGGAACTGTGTTCTCTCGATTCGGAGCCCATTCCATGCTGTCAACACGTCCGTCCGCTTTTCCTCGTCCTCGAGCAGCTCCACGAGACCGTTGATGATCAAACTTCCGGCATCCAAGTCTCCCGTCAGGCTATGGACTGTGCCAGTGAGGTCCTTCGCTGACATTTCGCCAGCGAGGTAGCCCCGGACAGCTGCTCGGAATGAAGAGACTTTTGGTTCAGAGCCTTTAAACACATCCTTGACACGTGCAAGGAATATCTGATGTTGTCTGCACGTCAACAATGGGTGGGATATTTTCTCAGCAGCTCAAAGGGATCCAAAGGAAGCGGTCGAAAAGGCTCACTGTATGCGCTCATCTTCGCTCTGTCCGGTGGTTACAGCATTGTTCTCCGCGACCGCGACTATGTTGGTAGTCAGCGAGCCGCCAAATGCAGCTCTTCGCCCTCGCGCGCGTGAGGCACCAGGGACACTTGAACGATTCGCAAGATAGGGTGCTTCCTGCTCTTGATCTTGGTCCGCCCCCATGCCCTTGCCGTCCCGTCGACTGCGACCCGCTCGCCTTTCACCGCCCCGACTTGGCTCGGCGGGATTGTCGTATGTGAAGGCCGCATCCACGCGAATAGCTTCTCGTCGCTCCCTGCTGGTTAGTTCTGCGCCATGTTCAGCCAACTGATGTGCTTTAAAGTCCATTTCGCTCTGTACCACCGTTATCGTTGAAGCGTTAATCAGCTTGAAAGTAAAAGGAAACGCACGAACAGACAGTGCTTACCGGAAAGACGATGAATTTTTTTTCCAGACACTCTGCGTTCGGACAGAGAAAATGCTGCAACTTGAAGTGGCGCTCTAGTGCGGTGTAGTCCTTAAAGTAAGTCTGCGCCGCCTCGCCACCTCGAGCTTTGCAGATGTGACACTGTTCGTGGCGGTCTCGCATGTGCACGAAGAGCTCGTCGTCCGAGTAAAAGTAAGCGTGGCAGTACTCGCAAAAGCGATGATCTGAGCTCATGTGCGATCCGAGGCTGTGTTTGTTGTAAAGGGTGTGCTCATGCGCGAAAATCTTCTTGTTCCGTACACAGAGGTCGCTGTCGAGCCAGGGATATTTGGCCATTAGAAATTCTTCAGCATAAGATCAGGTTTCTGTCAATTCTCACCACAGCAGCTTTCCGTGGTCCCTTCTGATGTGCGACTTCAAGTCATTCCACCCGGCGCTAGCCACTTCACACTTGGTGTCCGGGCAGTTGAAGCGCAGAAGAAACAGCGTCTCCTCCATGGCCTCTCTTGTCAAGAAAGAAATGGACAACTTGGCATCCTTGTGCGGCAGCTCCTCAGGCGTATATTCAGCGAACGTCTTTGTCGTGGACGATGTAAAGATTAGGCTTTCGGCAGGAGCCTGACCAGAAGAAAACCGAAAAAAACATGTCCGGTTAGCAAATGCAGCGAATGTAGGATATTCATGAGAGGTATCACCTTGCAAAAGGTGCATTCAATTTTCTTATACAGCGCTCTCAGTCGCACCGCACACATGTGACACGTTATGTGGTCGCACGGTGGGAGAGAATAGAGGTGCACCGGCTCAGCGCAGATGAAACACAGCTCCACTTCTGGGGGTATCTCTTCATCATTGGCCTTCTCTGCCGTGGTCGACTCCGGAGCATTGCCTGAACCTGAAGCTGATGCTGACATGGACGGCTGTCCGTCAACTTGCTTGCTCTTGCCTTTGCTCTTGGCCCCTGCAGCCTTTCGGCCTTCTGACGCTGGATCTTCTACCTTGCTGCTTTGCTCCTTTGTAAGTGAACCGCCGAATTCTCGCCTTCTAGAGCTAACACCACCCCGTCCGCGACCTCCTCGTGCCTGTCCATCGCCGTATCCTCGTACTGATGAACCTTCCATGGCGCTTGATCGGGGCGTGCCCTCTCTTCGGTAGAAATGTATCTTCTTGAAAACGTCCTGGGCGACGCACCAGCTGCATCCAATGCCTACGATCAGAAGTGTGCTTGCTCCTTACAGCACCGAACGTTCTGTGAATGACTAGGAAACCTGAAGATGCTGTTGCTTCGTTCGCTCGATGTCGTCAGAAGGCAGACGAGTGTGGGGAGCTGTAGAGAGACTTGAGGGTCTGAGAAAGGCAAGCCTCGGGAGTCGGGTCAACCCGCCTTTCCTCTTCCCACCCGCCGTTCCGCTCTCTCAGCGGACAGCGATGTCCCATTCGCTGGCTTGCCTGGCACTTTTTTCTTCCTGGCCTCGATACCAAGCGATTGTTCGGAGATTGCAGGTCTTGGTTTCCAACAGTCTTCCAGCCTCGGGAAGAAAGCGAGCGCTTCAGCGTAGAGCATCCCGACACTCAAAATGGCCAGCAGAAACTGTGCTGGTTTGGCTGTTTCGGCTGCCGCTTCTTCCAGCCGGCAGTCGGCGCTCCTGCACACCCGGGCCCTCTCGACCACCGCGCCTTCCAGCTCGCAATGCGCTCCAGTGACAAGTAGATGCAAGAGCCGCTGCAGCAGCCATTGCAACGAAAAAAGCAGTCATTGGAGTGGGGCTGGGTTAACCGTTGGCTCTTACTCGCGAGCACGTCAGGTGCATTCTTCGACTGCTGTGCTCGCCCCTCCCAAAGCTGCGTCGCCAAGCGCACCAGCTGGCTCTCTTCCCCCTTTCGCGCGGCGACACCCGCAGCTCTATGCTGCCATCCAGCCACCACCCAATGCTGCATTAGCTGCTCTGGCAGCGAGGCTGCGGCTGATCGGTCCGTCATCCAGTAAAGAAGAGCAAGAAAGACGGATACGACTTGTGGCTCAGGCTTGCACGCATCCATCATTTGCTCAAGTATTGCAACGAGCAAGGGATGCCCAGCGGAAGCTTGAACGACCAGGCGCAGAGTCTAGCGTGGCCATCGAGTCTGACGTGCAGCACAATGCTCAGCTAGAGGCGCTTGGAAATTCGCTCTTGGGCTTGCTGGGCTCGGAGGCGTTGCATCTCAAGTATCCACATCTTCCAACGCGGGTGCTCAAGGCAGCCTTGTCCGCGTATGTGGGCTCAAACACGACTGCAGATGTGGGGGGCGAGCTCGGCCTTGCAGCGCCAGGGATGATCCGATGGGACCGAGGGGAAGAAGGCGAGCAGATGCCAAGAAAGACATCGCCATCGAAGCCAGCCGAAGAAGGTCGATCCTCCCCCGTTGTGTCGTCGAAGGACGCACGGAGTTCGTCTGTCAAGGCGCTGATCGGCTTGATCTATCAAGAAAATGTGAGTCAAATCCCCTAATTATCTACGCAATTCTTCTCCCAGATACCCTGAACAAGCTGTCTGCTCCATCTACAGGGCATCGACGCAGTGAAGGATCTTCTGCACACGCGCTTTCTGTCACGCACAGTCGACCTTGCTGGCATGCTAAAGTTCGAAGATCCAAAGCGCGTGCTTTCGAATACGTGTCTCAAATACGGCAGAGAGCGACCACAATCAAGAATGATCGCAGAGACGGGTAGGCTCTCGAATACCCCGCTCTTTGTCATCGGTGTCTACAGTGGGGAGCTCAAGCTGGGTGAAGGCTTCGGAAGCAGCATTCGAATGGCGGAATTCAGGGTAAGTGTTTACAATTTAGTGCGCAACGCCTTTGCCGCTTACTAACTACTTTCTGACATGAATCATGCAGGCGGCAGAGGATGCGCTGCGACGCTTGTACCTTGCTCAGGCACCTTTCGACCCGCAGAACTTGCCGTCATCGACGCTTCAAGCTTCTTCCGCCCCATGGGAAAGTCCTGCCGTGGGTACAAAGCCTTATTCTGCTCCACCATTAGGGGCAAGCGAGGTGTTGCACGGATCACGAGTGTAATTTGCACTTTTGGGAGCATATAATATTGATACAACATGCTGCATTGCAAGCACTCCCTAAACCCCTTGACACCATTGAAGCACTGGCTCATGTACGAATAAGGCCTAATCCCTGCCCGTTGAGTCCTGTCATCCCGTCTAAATAAATGAAGCCCGGCATGTGAGAGATTGACGTATATCGCTGAATAATGGCCTGATAGACAGAAGGCGCGCTGTGGAGGTCTATTCCCCACCAGCTCGGGCATTTTAGGTTGGGAGCAAGGGCGGAAGGCTGACGAGACCTGCTGCCAACCATGGCAAGGTCCACAGCCGTTGCGCGCCGCTTTCGCCCTTGAAGGAAGCAGCACTGTTCCCGATCCCATCGTCCTTGCTCAAGATGTTGGAAGTGTTCGGCACGATGGCCGGGTCGGCAGCACGGGTCGACCAGTATGGCGGGCAGGTGGCCCGCTGAGAACTCGCACCAACGAGTCCGTCAGCAGTGATCGCCGCTGCTGATTGCAGAATTGTGAGTCCGTATTGCGTATTCGACGGCAGAACAGGGTCGTCAGGGCAGCAGGCCGAGTTTTGCTGCCCCCATTCTGACCCCAGAGCCGCAGCATCGTTGTATCCGGCCCACTGCTGGCAGGAGACGAAAGCGTAGGTGACATTCCATACGCCATAATCATGGTCGCCGGGAAAAAAGTTGGCAGGGATAGCGTTAGTGGGGCTGGGCCAAGCCAGGTCAAAGTGAACATAGGAGCCGAGCGCATTGGGTCCTTTCACCGTCGCATTGCAATGCGGGCCCCCCAAGCCTGGACACAAGTCGGCGATCTTGACGACGACACTGGGTGCTTCCCCGTCATCTTGCTGCTGCTCATCAAAGGCTATCCCATTACCGCCGGTACCATCTGGCCCGGGCAAGGGAGTCAAAGGTGTTGATTTGAGGACGAGCTTGACGCAAGTGCCACAGGCGGGCCCAAAGCTTGTGTTCGAGCCATACGCGAGTCTATTCAGCGCTGCTACTGGGTGATACGTGACGCGCCCAACGCAGCCGCAAGACGCTACCCAGCCCTTCGGAAGCTCATAATGGGTCATAGTCTGTTTAAAAAAGGCATTGCGGATGGCCATCAGCTCCAAGCGTGGCAGTGTGTCACTACCTCATCCCATAAGCTCACCGCCCAACCGGATGCTGGCAGCTGCCAAGCCGTATCATTTGGGGCGATTGTATGGCTGGCCAAGCATAAGCCTGCTAGTGCCAAGCAAATATTTAATAGAAAGAAAGACAGTCGCCCTTGTGATATATACGAATACGAGATATTCCACATGTCGTCTAGCAAACGCATATATCTGAGAGATGAGGCTGACGCGTCAAGCAGGGAGCGATGGTCGAACCTGGGTACAATAGGTCGTGTCGCGGCCACGCGGAGCCAGGGCTGCCTTCGCACGCAACGCCCGATGAATTGGCAGTGCCCCAAGAGGACTGAGATCGCGTTGGGGTTTGGACCTGTCCATATGCTGTATTTAGGAAATGTAAGCACTAATGAAGCGTTCTCGACAGTTGTTGGGTCGAAGCCATGAGCCTGGTCCCCATGATGGGTTGGCTGTAGATTTGCAGACCGCAGAATTGCCGGCTGCTAGCTCTTGTAATAGGGTAGCGAAACTATCGAACGGGAATTTCTTCTGCATCCTGCCCTTTAGGGACAAAAAAAGTGGCGTAATACGTACGTAGGAAAGTCGATCGTCCTATTCAGCTTGTAGGGTTAGATAACACAACACCCAGGGAGAAGATTTGCACATGACCGTCACTAACTCTGTAGGAAAGCCGAGCATCCTACTTAAACTTCTAGGGTTAGATAACAAACACTGCGGGACAAGATTTGCAGACGACCAGATACACTGACGGCATGTGATGAGATGCTTGTGACTACTATGCGATGATGCGATGCGACGCGAGAAGGGTGCGCATGTTAAACAAAGATGCTAATTGATGAAATTTGAGCCCCATATGTGTTTGCTACGCTTGCCGCTGCGGCTGAATGCTTCTACGGCCGCTCCCAGTGATGACCGACGGATGGCCGGTGGCATCATAAGCCATGGCCGGCGCATGAACCTGGTGCATCGCTGACCTTCAACCCTTCAGCGACGCATGTCATGATGGATGAACTGACACCAATATTCCTTAGGATTGAGCCAGTTGGGCTCAGGATGGGAACTCACTGTGGCACGGGCTGGAAATCCGAATGGCAAGACAGGCTTGAAATGTATATGACTGGTACTGATCCTCACTTCGTCTCTTTGCACAAGCATATCCCCTACCACTGCACACAAGCTCAAAGATTTTGACGGTGATGGTATAAGTCACGCTGAGATATGGTGTGGGGTTCAGGCTGTTGAGCATTTGTTTCGCTGCATGGCTAGAAACAATTCGTCATATCAGGCAGGGAAGTGGTGCTAAAGCCCATGTATATCATTGAAAAGCTTACTGGTCACTATTATTGGTAGACCTTGTCAGCCAAATGACCACCTACTGTACTCCTATGCACGGATATCCCTTTGAGAAGATGTTGTGATGGTGTAGACCGTGCAAAGATAGGAAGGCCATTGAGCGCGAAGCGAGAAATACCAGTAATTGATTGGTCAAGCTGACCATTGAAACTTGCACTTGATTGTCCAAGGCAACTTAATACCTGGAATTGATGGGTGTTGATCATGGCCATAAATGATGATATGCGTTATAGGAAAGCATATGGTGAGGAGAAGGGACAGCTCCTATGGTGCTTCAAGGCGGAGGGCCAAGGGTTGGATGATGCTCAAATCTTTGCTGCGGATTAAAGACTTGCCTGAAAAAATAGTTCATATACTTATCCATGCGGATCATTTTCGATCCTTTGTGTTTAGATAGCAGAGAATTGTCAGCAGTCGCGCCTTGAACGGCAGAAAGTATGCATCGTTGGCCTCCTTGCATGTGCCAGGTCAACATGAAGCGTTGATCGAATTTGTATATTACGAGTGTGTCCTGCATATCAAGCCCTAGCAGGTCATAATCGCGTTTGATCCTGCTGTCGGTGATAGATGCAATGTACAATAGAGGCATGAATTGGATGGACCGTAACGAGGGCGAAGTGAAGCAACTTGTGCAAAGTTGATGCTTGGAACTTAAGAAACGTGGAGCGGAACGAGCTCGAAGCACTTGTCAAGATCAAAGCAA